CTGAGTTATTCTTAGGTTGTAGAAGTGTGTATCTTTGGACTGGCCAGTGGGTCTTGGCCAATTAAAGGGTTAGATTACCTGAGAGAATCAGCAGTTAGTATTCTCTTCCAAGTGTGTTGAGCTATCCAATAGCATGACAATTAGCAGCAATCCAAAAAGATTTATTGGTGCTTCAGGAAGCACATGCTAGCCTTCATCATCCCAGCTTGGTAGCATCATGTGATGAGGGGAAAACTAACTAGTGGTTAGAAATGGGTGGAAATTGGATGGAAAATTGAGCAAAGGGGAAAAAAAGACTTGGAGCAACAACAATCAATACGTAATAACTGCATAAAGAACACAGAAACAAATAGCTGATTGGATGTGACCCCATTATGCCATTATTTGATTCATTTATGTTTACCAATTCCTTTTCCTGTCTTCTTAAGAAGCTTATATGTGTAAGCATTGAATTAAAAAACATATTGTACTTATTGTTATTTGAACCCTTTTTTAAACATGGCTCTGACATGTTGGCACATTATGCCAGTTCCAGTTTTATTTACAATTTCCACCCATCAGACCATGTATAGAGAGTAAATATTAAAATAAGCAGACAAGAACACAGGCATTTATAAAACACAGTCTTTAAAGCTGCAGTTATGTGCACACATACACACAGATGAGCACAGCAATGCAATCACACAGAGGCACTAAGAATATGGGATCCATCACCGGGCCTTGACTCAAATCTGGATCTCATGGAGAGCAGATTGAATCTCTCATGAAAATGAAAAAGCCGCGTGCTGCATGTATTGGAAGTGGTGGAGGCCAGCTGCTGCGTTATTTTTGCTTCGCCTTCGGTCACTTATCCAGATTTCTGTACGCGATCGCCGCCCACTCGCCAATGTGCTTTCAATTTGGCCGCAATTTGAGAATTTGTTTAAATTACAGCGGAGGGGAGGGGGCAGCGGTGATCTGCTGGCATTGTCTCGGCTTCCTCAGAACAGCCAGCAAACCAAAAAGAGCATGTGTAACGGCTGAGTGAGGATGTGCAAGTCTGTCTGACTGTGTTCAGTTAGGTTGCGGTGGGGGTCATGGTGGGCAACTCATCCACAAAAACCCAAAACATTGTATCTGGCTGGATTAATTAGGTGAATGGGGCAAAAGAGATGGGGCACTCTCATAAGCCTGAGAATATAGGCTTTATTGGTGTTATAACAATTGCTGTTACCATTAGCATTACTGTGTGGCCGGTCTTGGGATGACTTGTTAAACTGTTGGTACTGGATTGCAGCAAAATCCACCACTAACAAAAGGTGTGTCCAGCTAAAACCAGGCCCCAAATTCCTCTAGTCAATCTCTTTTAATGTCCAGAGTGATTGATAGCACAAGCAAAGCAAGCTAGCTAACTAATTGAACTGTCTGGAAGAGGTTGTTTATTTGAAAAATAGTTTATTTTTATCCCATGTTAGGTTTTTTCTGCACAAGCAACACATGTCTAAATGTTTAATTGTTTTTTTTAGGGGGGCTTTTAGCTATGCTAACTCATGTTACACCCATGGGCTAGTTTCCATGTTGAGGAGTACACCATTGCTCCCTACTTTGAGCTCCATGTTCAAGGGGCATTGGAGTGGATTAGAAATTTCCATGCTCATTTAAAAAAAATCTAGCAATGATATCAGACTATATCAGACTATAAGGCCACTAACAGTATTTTAAATGCATAATAATTACCAAACAGGAGAATACTAAATGCATTTTACTTTGTCTTATTAAAATGTAATAACATTTTATCGTTTGCACAGCACTTACTGAAATAGACATAAAGTGTCATCCAAAATCCACACCATTCACATAAATGCATGATGGTTGGAGGACAGTGTACTTTGTAGGTCAGTGCTAAGGAATGCTAAGCTGGAAGGGGAAGAATATTCCAACTGAGGACCCCTTATGACCTATGTATGGACACAAAGAGAGATGGGAACTGTAAGTAGTAAGACACGCTCACTTTTGAAGCATCCTTAGTGGCAAAACCTCTAATGAGCGAAAAAACCGCCATAACAAGCCCAGTGAGGGACACTGTAGAGCCCTTGATGTTTACACAGACCATAAGCATATGTGCAGTTTATCTCTCTCTCTCTCTCTCTCTCTCTCTCTCTCTCTCGTCTCGCTCTCTCGATTTCATTGATCCATCTCTCCTCTTGCAGTATATTGGAGTTAAAGTTGTGAGGATCAGCACCTTCCTCCATAAACTGTGTGTGGCGCTTGGCTGTGTGTGTGTGTTTGCATGAATCTGTGTGCATGTGAGTCAGCGTGAAAGTCTGTGTGGTCAAAACCAAGCTGTAAATGTCGATGTCCATGTGTAGCTGACATGAGCTGATTTCTCTGGCACTTGGAGAGAGAGAGAGAGAGAGAGAGAGAGAGAGAGAGAGAGAGAGAGAGAGAGGCACATAGAGAGACAGAGAGAGAAGTATAGTATTTTTTGGAGTTGTTTTTATGCATCTACAGTCATATTTTTTGGGCAGAGAGACAGAGAGACAATGAAAAAAAGAATAAAAGTCAGAATAAAAAAGTGAATGAAAGAGAAAAAAAGAAAGAGCTTGAATGAGAGAGAGGGAAAGAAAGAAAGAACGAGAAAGAAACAGACAAAGAGAATGAGAAAGAGTGAGAGAGAAAGAGACGGGAAGAAAATGAAAGAGAGGGAATGAAAAAGAAAGAAAAGAGGTAGAATGGAAGAAAGAGGCAGACAGAGAGAATGACAAAGAAAAAGAGAGGGTAGAGATAGAGAGAGAGAAAGAGAATAAAAGAGAGAGAGAGAAAGAGAATGAAAGAAAGAGAGAGAGAGAGAAGTTGAAAGAAAAAGAAAGACATAGAGAATGAAAGAGAGATCGTGAAAAAAGACAGAGAGACAATAATGAGAGGGAATGAAAGAAAAGAGGTAGAGTAGAAGAAAAAAACAGAGACAGAATGAGAGAGAGAGAGAGAGAGAGAGAGAGAGACAGAGAGAGAGAGAGAGAGAGAGAGAGACAGAGAGAGAGAGAGAGAGAGAGAGAGAGAGAGAGAGAGAGAGAGAGAGAGAGAGAGAGGTATTATAAGCAGTCATGAGCAGTTATGATTAGTTATGCAATGGGCCAGACCCTCAACAGATGTGCTTCAAAGACTCACACACACAGACACATACACAGCCAAAACAACCCACCCCTTCAAGAGGGAGAGATATTAAGCAAAGGAAGCTGTATAACTCATATATAACACAATAAATCATTTATTATATATTACATACTAAACTTTATATTATTATGTGCCACTTTAAAATAAGTACTACCAAGAGGGTTTAGGAATGGCTTAAAATTAGTTCATTCATGGTTATTAATTAGGTCATAAACACCTTAAAATCATTAATAACCAGTTATAACACAGAAATTAAAAAGGGTAACAGTGGCCTGTTACTTGCCAAATTGTGAGCCTATATTCATCTACACTGTTAGACTTCAGATTTTGCTGGTTACTCATCTCACACCTACCATCAGATATAATAGCTCAGTGTTGCCCGTCTCATTTATGAGTTATGACTGATAGATAATGATTGTTTTGCAGTGTTTAATACCAAATTAAGAACCATGTTTAACCCCTTTATAAGATTAGTCTATCTATCTATCTATCTATCTATCTATCTATCTATCTATCTATCTATCTATCTCTACTTCTCTCGCTCTCTGTCCTGTGCCTGTGTGTGTGTGTGTGTGTGTGGGTATTTTTCTTTGGGGGTCTGCAGTGTTTGATTGCTGTGTGAAGGTTTAACCCCACACAATGCCGGCCCTGTTCCGTGGCCCCGAAGCCACAGCGCTGGGGGCGAGGGGCCCCGAGGTTAAAATATGTGTGCAGCACCACCTCCTCCCCATCACTCACACACACACACACACACACACGTCAACACAAGAAAAATATCACAAAAATCACTTTGATCTTCATTCAGTATGAATGGTAAGAAAAATGCAGATTTTTTTACATGTGAAGCTTTTGAGGGATAAAAAAATAATATTTTTACCTCTCTAGTCATTATTGTCCTTTGGCCATTTTTTCAATATGCATTGTAATTTTATATCTCACTGATCTGCTGAAGTATTAATGTCCATCCAGGCCACTTTGCTCAGCTGTGACAAACTCCTAGGATCACTTACAGCTCAGCTGGTGGAAGATCATTTTAGCTTTCTGGATTATATAAGGGACACAAGCTCCATATGTGTTTTAAAATCCAGATGATAACATTTTGTTTTGTAATTGTTTGTAATTGTGCTGTGATTTTCAAATAGAGTGTAATATTTTTATTTTTCCATTAATGGCTTCTCAATTGAAATCATAATACAGTACCTCCTCATCTACTTATGAGCAAATGCAGTATGAATTGAAACCTTACTCTCCACAGTATTTATCTACTTGTTTCAGTGAGCTACAAGTTACAAAAAATAATAGTAATAATAGGTATTAAGCAAAATGTATCAAAACGCATCTCAATGTGAATATCGCTGCTCTCAGAGCAAAACCTTGTATCGCCAAAATGGTAACTTTACAGGAGAAGGAAAAAAACAACTTTACTTTTAATATGTCAATGGAACCAGACGTTTTTCCAGGTAATTTTGAGTCACTTCTTTTGGTCCATTCATCATGAAATTTCCCACAATGGGACAACAAGTACTTTCAAATTATGTCAAAACCTGAAAAATGATAAAAATAAAGATACAAGGTTTTGTTCCAACAGCAAGACAGGTGAGTTCAAGCCACTTGCAGGTTTTATGTTACAGCTGCATTAAGTCAATGAGCTGAAGTTACATACATTCAAGATGAATTAATGCTGAAAAAGATGGTTAATGGAAACAAGATGTCCTTATTAGCAGTAGTTACATAAGGGATACATTGTTATTACATGTTTATAAACATATTGGGACTCTACATAGTATAACTTACAATAATGAGTTAAAATATATCTTTTAACATTGTGCTGGTCTTTTGTGTTGCAGGTAGCTCATCAATATCATACAATGCACCATCTCACAATGACCAATCTCCCCGTCTGCCTGCCAAAGAAGGTAGGACTGTTGCAGCTTGCAGTCGAAATGAGTGCTCTAACATAATCTCTATCTGCCACAACTTTAGTATAAACTTGATTACTACAGACAACAACCAAAAGACAAGAACAGAAAACCTACTTTCTCAAAACACACTTATAGTAGAAGCAAATGGGCAGTTGTTGAAAAACTTTCCGATTGTTTTGTTTTAAATCAAGGGGTTCTTTTCAAAATGCAATCAGAAAGGAAGAAAACCTCATATCTCCAAAATGATAACTTTACAGGAGAAGGAAAAAACATACTTTACTTTTAATGTAAGTCAATGGAACCAGACTTTCTTTTTGGGCTATTTCTTCTGGTCCATTCATCATGAAATTTACAAACAATGTGAAGAGCAACAAGCATTTTCGAATCATGTCGAAAACTGAGAAATGACAAAAATGGAAATACAAGGTTTTCTTCTGAAAGCAGTGATATGCTATATTTGTACCAGATAGAGGTTGAAACATTTTTGTAAGCAATAGCTATTAGCAAATAACTTATCTAGCCCCATTAGTTCCAAACACACAAAGCGCATTACCTTGTCGATATATACTAATGTTAAAGCTGAAATCGTGCTGGGTGATCAAGGTGATCGTTTAGCGCTCTTTCCCTCTCTCTATTCTCTGGGTGAGCGCTCGCTCGGCAGGTGCTGTCTTTGTTCAGTGTAAATAAAGAAGCATGGCTGTTGAGTCGTCCATTCACTGTCCACCTGAAAGTGGAGGGCCTTTCAGAGCGTAGCGAATTAGCAAGACAAAAGCCACGTGCCTCGTAGCCCAGGGCCAGCACAGAGAGAAAGAGAGAGAGAAGAGAGAGAGAGAGGCAGAAACAGAGTAGAGAGACAGGTGCCGTAGATCACAATACAAAGAGAGAGAGAATATACTTGAAGTGAATGGTTTGCATTTGTGTGGATTTGAATGTTAAAAAGTCCACAACACAATAACAGCGTGGGCCGCGTTGCTTAGTTAAGCGAGCTGTTGTGTATTTTCGAGTGTCTGTATTGGTCAATGTTGGTTTTAGAATGTGAGTGTTGGGTGAAAAGCAATGTTTTAGTTATATACACTATGCGACATGGGTTTTTGTCAGTGTTTTGGAGGAACTCGGAGTTGTTTTTATGCGCTTGCAAATTAATTAGTTGATGTTTTTTTGGACTGTCCTTGTTCTTCATGTGTTCCTGAGGGCATTACAGCAAATTGTTTTTATGATAATCTACACATTAAAGTGGTATCCAGTATACTAGTTGTCTGGATGATCTGTTTGTCCACATCCGCAGTGCTAAAGGCTTTGTCTTTAATACTCTATGATCAATTAATATTCATTCTTTTTTTATTTATTTATTTTTTGGGGATATTTGATTTTTAGTGGTCTATCATGAATATTTGTCGTTTTCCACTGAGACTAGCCAATGGCATGTTTCTGTACCTTAGTCCTGGTCATTCAAAGCTACTGTATATAGTAACTTAGTGACAGTTTTCTAGCTAATGCTAAAGCTTCAGTCTTGATGCTTTCAAAGGATATTAGCTCCTCGTGGCAAAGTTGTGTTTTTATTTCAAATTTGACCATGATGTTGCCTGCATGGACGCACTTGCTGATGACCTTCCAGTTAATTACTTATAAAGCCACGCTGGCCTGTATTAATTGATTATTATTTATCTTTGCTGTACATACTGTGCTCATTGCTGTCACCAGTATATTGTTCTGAATTGTGGTTGATTTGTGTTTGAGAATAAAAGGTAAATGTGTTCCTTCTTGAAACCGCACTACTGTGATAGAAATTCCCTCATGCTCCACAGGAAGTGATGAAATTTGCTTTTCTGAGAAATCTGTGACATTGGTCTGGCAAAAAGTCTTACATTTTTGTTTGTATTGTAGTGTTGATGTTTTTCATATAGGAGTGTTTTTGGTGTTTTGTGGTGTTTCAGGTGGTTTTGATGTTGGAGTCTTTGGTGTGTGTGAAGCATCTTTGATGTTTTGGATGGATGAGTTTGGTGTTTTTGATAGATGAGTCTGATATTTTTGATGTCGTTCATGGATAAGTCATGCTGTATCTGATGTGAGAGTACTTGGTGTTTTTGAGGGATGTTTGATGTTTTTGGATGAAAGAATCTTTGGGGATTTTTAGTTTTTGACAGAGGAGTTTAGTGTTTTTGATATTTTTGATCTTTCAAATGGAGATGGTTTTAATGAGGAGTTGTTGGTATTCTTGATGTTTATAATTGAGGAGTCATTGGTGTTTTTGATGAACAATTCTTTTTTTGTTTTTATATAGGAGTATTTGATGTTTATGTGATGTATTTAAGGATATGTTTATGTTTTGATGTAGGAATCTTTTGTAGTTTTGATGTTTTTGATATATGAGTTTTTGGTGGTTTTGAGTGTTTGATGGTTTTGATGTAGGAGATGATGATGATTTTAATGTAGGAGTCTTTAATGTTTCCGATGTAGGATTCTTTGGTGTTTTTGATGCAGGGGTCTTTGATGTTTTTGCTGTAGAGGTCTTTGGTGTTTTGGTGTGTTGATGCAGGAGTCTTTGGTGTTTTTAGTCTTTTGATGTCAGAATCTTTGGTGTTTTTGATGTAGAAGTCTTTAATGTTTTTAATGTAAGAGTCATTGGTGTTTTTGCTGTAGAAGTCTTTGGTGTTTTTGGTCTTTTGATGTCAGAATCTTTGGTGTTTTTGATGTAGGAGTCTTTAATGTTTTTAATGTAAGAGTCATTGGTGTTTTTGGTGTAGAAGTCTTTGGTGTTTTTGTTTTTTGATGTAGGAATCTGGTGTTTTTGATGTAGGAGTCTTTAATGTTTTAATGTAAGAGTCATTGGTGTTTTTGCTGTAGAAGTCTTTGGTGTTTTTGGTGTTTTTATGTAGGAATCTTTGGTGTTTTTGATGTTTTTGGTATAGGGGTCTTTGGTGTTCTTGGTCTTTTGATGTTGACGTCTTTAATGTTTTTGAAGTAGGAGTATTTGGTGTTTTTGGTGTTTTTTGATGTAGGAGACTTTGGTGGCTTTGAGCGTTTAGAGTTTTTGATCTAGGGATCTTTGGTCTTTGGTGAGATTAGATTTTCTTTTTTTATAGTTTTATAGTTTTAGAACAATTTTCATTACTTCTGCATATATAATGGCCTGTGAGAACATATGTACACCTTCACAATACCCTAAATTTCAGATGACAAATCTTATAAGTTATATGGTTGTGGTCTTGATTACTTGACTACTGTTTATGTTTGTTTGTTTTATTTTGTTTGTTTGTTTTTTTTTGTATGATTCAGACTGTCCTGAAAGATGTCACATTGGAATGTAAATATGCAGTGACATATAACAAAGAATATCCATGATGCGTTTGTGTTAGGTCTGGGATAATCTCTTCAGACTGTAGTCCACTCCAGGCCTGTAATAACACTGATAGCCCTCAGGTCCTGAGAGCAACGCTATCTTGGCAGGACCAGAAGAGAATATGTCCAGATAAGCGTCTGAGTCAAAGCAGGATATCTGACCCATGATGAAAGCTCTCAGCCCCTCATTAAAGCCACTAATACAAGGAATACTGGAGATTAGATAATGGCAAAAGGCCATATGACTTTTGACCCATGGCATTATGAGACACCTTCCATTGTACTGTACCTGTCCACCTGTATGCTAACTATGATGGATGTGTGTCCACACATTGTGAGCTTTGTAATTTTGGTATTCATATATTTGGGACATTGATGGATGGTTAATTAATACATGAGTTAATGCTCAGTAGTCAGCCATAATGGCCTAATACTTGGAATAGAAGCTTGGAATAGAGCTACACAATATGTAATAACTGTTAATCGAAAAAAAAGATTTTCACTTTATGTTCACATTGCACACTGAGCACCCTAAACAACACCAGATGTTACTGATGAGTTTTGGTGGGTGTTGTGATGAATCATTATGTTTTCCAATAATGGAAAATAATTTTGGCCAAAATGATGCAGCATGATCTTTAAAGTTGCTGCAACAAGATGCTTTGTTTGCTAAGTGAGATACATTTTAATATTGCAATCAAAATATGTATCACTAAGGCGTTTTGTTTTTCTGTTGCCTTCTTGAACCAGCATTATCTGTTCACTTATTTGATAAACCATGCTGCTTTGATCAGTTGCACGGCATAAGTGTTATTCATGGACCATTAAATGTGCTAAGCATCAGAACTTTGAAGTGCACCAAAGCAGAACTTACACAGCCATTTTAGCAGATTCATTGTCAAAATTGTGTCTTGGTGGACAGACAAAATAGCTGGTTTGTGTTAATTAGCTCTTAATTGACCATTCCTTTGTTATAGCATATTGTAAAGGTTAGGTTTGGATGAATGTTGTCCTTCTTGCCATGATGGCATTTTGTGTTCTAGTTTATCAGTTAAAGCTACAGAGTTGGTTTTACTCAGACAGGGATTAACCCCTTAAAATCCCAGACTTATTATTTACTAAGACTTATTATTTAGTAACTACAGGGACTTCAGTGCGAACTGGTTGAGCTACTTTTAGGTTATAGAAGTGTGTAAAAAACTTTGGGCCTGCCAGAGAGCCTTGGCCATTGAAGTTGTCAAGCATATTTCTGGTTTACACAGCAAACTGAATGGAGATTCTACATTGAAAGGAATGTGTAGTCCAAGATGAGGCTTAATTCCTGTCTGGGATGCTGATCCATAGTTTTTCAGTTGGCCCCAAAATGCTTTCTGAAGAAAGTGGTAAAGGTGTGAAACCATAAAAGTCCTCAAAAATTAGTCAGTTTTTAGTAATGTCGTATGTAGTAAACAATATTTAAAATAATTTGGGATCATATAGGTTGATACCAATGAATTCATATTTGTAATCAACAGTTGTATTTGCAGCAAAGCACAGGTATCCATTTAATTTAACCCCTTAAAATCTCAGGCTTATTACATACTAAAGCTTATTATTCAGTAACTACAGGGACTTCAATGTAAACTGGCTATTCTTGGGTTATAGTCGTGTGTAATAAAACCAAATAAACCTGGGGATTTAAGGGGTTTATTATCTTGAGGAAGTAAACAGAACTCAATCCCCTCAAGTAAACTCAACTCAGAAGATATTGGTGATTCAGACCTAACATTATGGACTAGTATTAACTTTGCATTACAGGTATATGAATGTACAGTAGTACACAAAAGGCTGGGCACTACTGGTCAAACACATTTTTTTTTTTTTGATTATTGAAGTGAAATAGGTACATGTAAAGATATCTGCACATTTGTATGCCCGATTACTGTTTATTTGCTGAATTTAACACTAAAATGTGGCATGTGCAAAATTTTATATTTTAGTTTTTTTTTGTTGTTTTTTTTTACCTATATGTTAAATTCAGCAAATAAGTGACAAAAACATCAAAAAATGTTAAAATGTTAATGTGCTTTTAACTTATTTTCAAGCCTGTACTTTGACCGGTGGTATTTAAACCTTTACACATAACTGTACCTGTGTTTATGAATAGTATGGACAGTTACATTAGAAAATAAAATGTGCATGAAACCGTAGAAATATCAGAGGTATATCCTAATTATAGATGTGCAGCCTTTGTTATCATAAAATGCTAACAGTGAGATTATGAGCACGCCGTTCTTTCCAGACTGTTTAGGAGTAGCGCTGGTCTAGACGGCTGGGTGAGTTGGACGGTTGTTTTGACTAGTTGAGCTGCAGCCCGGTCTCTGAGGAACCACCACACCCAGTGCAGCACAGCCGAGATGAGGGGAGGGGAGGTCTTTGAGCTGGATAGAAAGTAGGAAAAGCACAGTGCTTTGAGACATTTTGAGCTCGGCATCCATATTCAAGCCTTGTGAACTCTTGTGAACCCTCTTCATAGTCTTGAAAGTCCCTTCGAAGTGAAGAGTTATTACTTTTGCTTTGTCATAAGAAATAAATCTAAGTAATTACATATGTATTTACATAGTTATGCAATAGTTACACTGGTGTTTGTCATGCACTCTGGTTCAGAAGGTTTCAGTCTGCCCGCTGACTGTGTTCTGTTTGTTTTGATGGGATGACAGAATTGGGCAGAAATGTAAATGACGCTTTGCGAAGTAGGACTTTATACACAATGATTTCCCATCAAATTGGAATAATGATAAAATGTTCTTCTTCTCACAAACACAAATGACCGATTGAAGGTTTAGAGCCCAAGCTGGATTCTTGAGCTTGTTTCAATGATTTGCAATTCAGAAATATTATGAAATTATATCTTTATTAGGATTGAAGCCACTGCAAATAAACCAAAGTAAAACAAATGGACATATTGGCCTCACAGTGATTCAGAACTTCAACTACGGTTCTCTGAATCCATGTGCCTCACTTTTTTTTACCCTGCCCACCACTCCTAAAAGTCCACAGCCCAAATGCAAAATATGCTTCTTGTTGGACCTGGAATTTGCTGCCATTCGAGTTTTGGAGGGACTGCATTAGCAATAGGGGCCTCTCCACTCTCCAGTGTTTGAGCTTGGGGAGTTGAGAGTTAGGCAGCCATTGCTGGTTTTTTCCCCTCTTATGGCTTAAGCTTATGGTTCTTCCAGCTCCTCGGGCCTATCATACAGTAGTAACGTCCACCGCCATTGTTTTCTTTTCGAATTCCGACGTTGTGTTTCGTCTGCTCGCTCTCTTGCTTTTTCCCCTTTCTCTCTCTCTCTCTCTCTCTCTCTCTCTCTCTCTCTCTCTCTCTCTCTCTTTCTCTCTCTCTCTCTCCCCCTCTATGGATTGTGCTTTTCTCCTTCTCCTGGAAGGAGGTAGGCTGATGTGTGTTTTTTCATGGCGGAGGGGGTGAAAAAAGCGAGGGAAAAAAAGGGCCAGGAAAACAAAGAGAGGTTGTGTGCAGGCTCAGCAGGCAGGAAACGTAACTCTCTCAGGACTCTCCCTCCCTCCATCTCTCTCTCTCTCTCTCTATTTCTCTCTCTCTCTTTCTCTCTTTCTTTTCCCTGCTTGCACCAAGTCTTGTTCCAGATCACTCTAGGGAGAAAAAAGAAAGAAAGATGGAGACGTTCAGACCCTGAGTAAGAGAAAACTTGAGAAGTTCTAGAATCAGAATAATTATTGGAAAATAGTAATACAGGAATTATGGACTTGCTGTCATAACAAAATATTCTATCTTCCTTATTGGAGAAGGATTATTATTCCAAGCAATTTTGGTGTAAAATGGTGTAAAAAAACTAATTTTTGAATTGCATCACAGTGAAGTGCAATTGGTATAAAACGAAGCAATTGGTTTGCCTTCTAATTTGTGCACTGCCCTCATAGACCGACCAAGCACTAGATGAGACATTGTCTGGCTTTCTTCATGTTCCAAAAGGCTTCTACAGCTAGGTCGCCCACCCTTAGATACCACAGCATTGTTCTCAGTGAGAAATGTTGGCTCAGGGATGTATTGTGATTTTGAAACAAGTGGGCTGTTTTTTCAACTCATTCCAAACCAAATGTTTGCTTTTGTTCACAGTAGTAAGAGTGTTGTAGGTCCACCCAACACAGGATTTAAAGGATGTCCACCAGAAGATGGCAATGTTAGCTCATTTTTACCAATACACCACTTGTGAGATTGCTACTATAGACATTGGATAGAATAAGTCTAATCTAGTGGTCATTCTCTTACACAAATATGGTCAGATGACAATGATCTGGTCAGACATTTGTGTAAGGGAGTTTTCATTAGCACAAAGATAGTTGGTTCAAACCTGGTAGGAGAAGTAGTTATCACAAGCAACAATATATGGAACTCTTTCAACTAGTAATTCTTACAATGCATGTAATTGATTTTAACCATTCTACACTGTAAAAATGGCTTTTCAGGTCAACCTAAAATAAGTACTTAACATGATAACAAGTAAAATAATATTAGTGTACAAGTACTTTGAATAAAGCATTGTTTCAATCAAAGTATTTGCTTGAATTGAATCAGATTAGGTCAATTGCTTGAAGTAGTTTTTGTCCAGCTGATGAACCATTTTTACATTTTATATTTTTCTTTTATAGCTTGTTGAAACAAGCAGTGAGAACTGTAGACTTTCAATTTATATCATATTTGCATGTGTAAGTAGAAGAAGACATATTTTATGATCATTTGAATTCTATGATTTTTTTATTTATTTTTTAATATAAGTTTTTTGTTTTGCAAAAAAAAAAGCTTGTTTGTTATTGTTTGACATCAAAACAAATAGAGAAAAAACAGAAGTATAGACTCAAGCCTGAATGTAAATTAAATATAAATATCATGTATTATGTAACTATAAAATTATTACAACCCATGTAATGTAATTACTGTGTAATTACAATGTAATTGCATTGTAATTATGTAATGTACATTGAAAATGTAGTAAAATAATACATCCAGACCTCTAAGAGTTAAGAATGAGTATTTTCATTATTAGGAGATGTTAGAGATATGATCCTCATACATGATTTTCAGATTCTCCTTGATTCTATTCAAAGTTCTGAAAGCCAGTTAAATTTTCAGACTTCTGCTTGGGTTCCATTAGTCTCAGTATTATTATTTTTTTTTAATGATGGCTACTATGTGACTTAGTCAACTCAATGCCGTAAGCAATCAGTGGCTTCATCATTAAAGCCAAAAGGGCAACTGTATAGTCTGAGGAATGGGGATAATGATTAGCTGTGATAGTTGGCTAATTTCCGTGTGGGACAGAAGGATCAGCATTATGCTGCGAGGCACAATGAGACCGTTTTAGAAGCACATATGAGAACACTGTGTCTGCCCAGAACATGCATGGGAAACATAAAAGTGTCTCCTTGGTTTCCTGCCCTTTCTATCCACTTTTTTTGTGCTTTTCTGGGGTATATCTTACAGAAAATAGAGCCCTAACGTTTATAGCCATGATAGTACCTCTGATGCAATGTTAAAAACGGAATTTTTGGTTTCTGGCAGACAGAGATTGTAAAGTGATTTACAGCTTGAAAAACCTGAATGGAAATGTTTCATTGTGGGTTTTCAGTGTGTATGTGTGTGTCCAAAAGCTGGTCAGTCTGTTGCAACCTCCTTAACTGTAATTTATGGCAGTCAAGTTGAGCCTTAGTCCTGCTCTGAGACGATGCTGAAAGCCAGATAAAACCGCACAACTCTGACCAGATATCCTCTCTCTCTCTCTCTCTCTCTCTCTCTCTCTCTCTCTCTCTCTCTCTTACTCTCTTTCTTACTCTCTTTCTCATTCACCATTCACACACACACATACACACAGATCAGACCACCAGAGGGTGTCTCTTGACATTTCTCTTTTTCCAATACATGCTCATGTTTCCCTGAGTAGAAAAATAAATGCAAACTGAGCTTTTAGCTTGCCAGTAAGGATATAAAGATATAAACATGTCTAGTCTTGTCTAAATAGGGCTACATATTTGACAGGAATTCAATATTTCACAACATCACACTGGCAGATACTCTAAGCTTTATTTGATAGCGATAACTTTAAGTGCAAAATATTGCTGGTAAATTGAGCAAAACATCTCTCTCTTCTCCTCAGATGCCTCGTATGATGCTGTACGGAGGACAGGCTGGTCGAACAACATGCACAGTGGTAAAGGTGAGCATGCTAAATACTAATCTAACCCTTTAAGCTGTAAATTAAACTCATTGGTAGGCACAAACTGAGCTAGTGGTTCTGTTGTTGCAGCTCAGGAACTTAAATTTGCTAATGGGTTCAAAGTTTCCCAATAAGTTCACTAATTGCATAGTAGTTACCAGATATATAGTAATTACTAGATAATAACTGATAAAACCCACAATTTAAGTGAGATTAGCTTGTATTATACATGTTTTAGTAAAAAGAGTTTTTCCTTAGACTTTGTTCACTTATCAAAAGCCATGTACCACCACTGTTACTGTCATCAACAGTTTGCAAGACCAACAGACGTAAGCTGCTCAGGTGTGAAATAGTTTACCTCAATAAAGAGGCTTATTGTTTAGTTATTAATTTTAAGGCTTATTCAGTAACTACTGTGAGTATTCTGGTAGTTCTTTTGTAACATATGGAAGTTAGTTAGACTTGTGTGCAAGTTACATGAGTTATGAAAGTGGGCCCACATACAGAGCCTTGCAGTTTAAGGGGTTAACATCTACAAGCATTTGCTGTAGCAACTGATCCATAAGGCAGGGGGCAGCCTTTAGTTGTGAGCTTTTGTGCTCCATTAAGCACTTAGTGGTGCAACCAGCTGCTGGCCCTGTTTTCTTTGGATGAGGACTGATGTGTGGAGGGACATCGACTTAATGTGTCTCATTCGCTCTCTTTCAGGCTCCCCGACTGTAGTATCTCAGAATGTGTCTAAAGGCACTGAACAGGCTCGACCTCAGCCAGGTAACAAAGATCCCCCAACTTAATGTCACTAGAAACATATGGAAGTTGTTTAATACACATTAGCCAGAGTAAAACTGCAGTACTTAACACTGTTTTTTTTTTTCCATCAGATCCCTATCAGATCCTAGGACCCACAAGCAGTCGGCTTGCCAACCCAGGTAAGAAGATATATTGAATATTCAAAAAGTAAATCAGTTATTAGAGCTATTTCAGGGACTGTCCAGGAGGTCCACCCCAGATTTAAGTCATTAGCTGATCAGCAAGGCCTTTGTGATTAGAGTTACAAAGGAAAAACACTTATCTCTGCAGAGCTGTGGCCCACCAGGACCTGAGTCCGACACCCCTGAGCTAGATCACTGAAACATTTTCTCAGTTTCAGACAATGGAAAGCAAAATATATCACGGCATGCTAAAGACATTACAAGTAGTGAAGCAGCAGGGGATGATGGATTCTTCAGCATTGCTCAGTTCCTCACTTTAACACTCTGTTAATATGTGTGTCCAGGCTCAGGTCAGATCCAGCTGTGGCAGTTCCTGTTGGAGCTCCTGTCAGACAGCGCCAACGCAGGCTGCATCACGTGGGAGGGCACCAATGGCGAGTTCAAAATGACCGACCCGGATGAGGTGGCCCGGCGCTGGGGTGAGCGCAAGAGCAAACCCAACATGAACTACGACAAGCTGAGCCGCGCACTGCGCTACTACTATGACAAAAACATCATGACCAAGGTGCACGGCAAGCGCTACGCCTACAAGTTCGACTTCCACGGCATCGCACAGGCCCTGCAGCCACACCCCACAGAGTCATCCATGTACAAGTACCCGTCCGACCTGGCCTACGTGCCTTCGTACCACGCGCACCAGCAGAAGGTCAACTTCGTGTCTCCACACCCGCCATCCATGCCCGTCACCTCCTCCAATTTTTTCGGCCCCACTAACCCCTACTGGAGCTCTCCAACGGGGGGGATTTACCCTAGTGCCAGCGTGCCCCGCCACCCAAACTCACATGTGCCGTCCCACCTGGGCAGTTACTACTAAAGCCCTTGACCCCTCGCCTCACAACTCACACGCCAACCCCAAGCTGCACTCAGAAAGAAAGCGCCAAAAGAAAAAAAATACAAAAGGATGCTGGAAAAAAAGGGAAGGTGCTTCTCTTCGGAGAAACTTGGCAAAAATTTGGAAAATGAAGGAACTGATTGAAGAAGGGGAAAAAGAGAAAAAAACTGGATGTTGTGTTGATCCACTTCAAAATGGAGTACTACTTATTCACAGGACAAGTGACTGCTTGGTTTGTGTTTGTTTCGTTTGGAGCATTCTTGTTTTGACTTTTTCCACATGTTCTTGTGCCTTTCTATCCCTCAAAACAGTTTGGTCCAAAGCACCGCCTACCTAACCAACATCGATCCTAAACGTTACCTGGAAATTACTTTTTACCTTGAAATTGACTGAGATGAATTAGTCACTGAAAGTTCCTAGCTGTAAATTGCCATGTTCTGCAAATGTGAAACTTTCCTATTTCTGTACTTGGGTTCATCCTTAACCATGCTGGCATCATAGCACAATGGTCATCATGAAATGGCACCATGAGCATCACTGAATGTTCTTTCTCTGCTACTTATGGTGATCTCAACATTCCGAAGCTTTCAGGAAACCAGGGCCTGGCTGTTTGACGTCATCTTTTTGTTTGTCTATCCTTCCCATTCATGGACTGTTCTGAAATAGAGGATGAAATCCCACCACAGGACGGATCCCAGGCAAAAATTTGGCAACTGGAATGTGCTGCCATTCACTTTTCACTTGTTCTCCAAACTGGAATTGTCAATTGTCCAAGAAAAGCATTGCAGGTTTTCCAGAAAGTTGGTGCCATAGTGTGTGCCAGGCTACACTCTTAAAAAGATGTCCTAAAGGATTCTTTGGAGCAAAGCCATACAAGAACTACTTTTGGTTCTCTTAAAGAACCTTTAGTGGTTCATCGCATTGGAAGACGAGATTTTTTGTAAATGAGATGAATTTGAAGAACCTCCACATTGTGTTAGGGTTCTATAGAAATGAAAGTTTTTTCCTAACTAGGAACCATTTAGAAACCTATTTTTAAGAGTGCAGCTTGCTCTAAACGTGTTCCTTTGTATGTCGATGACCGAGTCAGTATTAATATTGTTCTGCACTCAGCTGGCCAGCTCGCTGACCATCTCAGTGACTGCACTTCCCTGCCTCTTCAGTGTTGTACTTGCAAGATACTCGGAAAATTTTCATTTGCTAGTCAATGTGTCAGTCACCAAAATTCCAGAAGGAACATTCCCTATAGGTCACTGCTGTCGTTAATAATTTGATTGGCTGTTAAAAGTGTCAATCACCATAACGTTCCCATAAGGGGACTGATATTATTGATGTTCCGCACCAATGCTGAAAGATGGCCAACTGCCGAAGGCTTGTGGTTGATCTTGTGGAAACCAATCAAACATTGTAAAAGGTTGTATTACAGCACATTAAGCCAAACTAGCCAAGCGCTGATGTGAAACCTGTCTATTAGGCAGATGATAAACTTTTTATCCACTTAGTGTTATTTTCGTAAGCATTCCAAAGTGGTTTTCTTCTCACCACTGTACCTCGCTGTTTTTTTTAAAGCCTAGTTTTGTGTTTGTTCTTTCCTTATATGACAATGAAAGTCAAAATCCACTTTAACTCATCTCACAACCATCATTTCACTCCAAATAGAGTTGCTCATTACAGTACCTTTGTCTTCACGTCCTTACCTGAAGCTACTTAGATCACTGAACAGTTGAATGTGGACATTATGCAAAAGTACCTCTTTAAAAGATAAAAAAAAAGTTTTTTAATGAATTAAACAAGTTAAACAGTTAAAACAGCAACACAAAAGGTTGATAACCAGAGAGATCCTCAGATTCGCGAACGCTGTGCGTTTGTCAGACCTATTTGCTATTATTTTTTAATCAACGGTCAACTAGGCATTAAAAGCATCTTACTGTATAAATTATGCAGAGTTATTTTCATATGTGACAGTATTAAAAGATCAAGAAAATTAATACGAGTTGACCTCGGTCAAAATGCAAACTTTTTTAAAGCCGTTGCTGAAGGTAGTATGTACAGCATTAATGTTTTGTATCTGTACATTTGGGCAATAACTTTATGAATGTTTTTTTTTTTTCATTTTGTTTTGTTTTTAATGTGCTGCCTCGCCACGGTGAGGTGAAAGTATTTGATTTGTATGTTTTTTGTTTTCTTTTTGATGATACCACAAATGCCTTATAGACAATCATTCGTCTTTACAGACCGCAATCTCAAGTGCCAAAAGATTTTCTAAAGTGCCAAAATAAGAGCTCTCCTACTGCTAATGTTCCAAAGGCCAAATCCTGATTCAAAAGGATTGGAGAACCAAAAATAAACCATAAAGCGTCCCCTTTGCAGAATTCTCTTTAATATCGTATTAAGGCAAAACGCAAAGTAAAGAAAAAAGTTGAAAAAAAAATAAATAAAAATCACCCCATCATCTCTTCAAAGCATCACTATCTAATGAAGGAATTGTGCTATTTCATATATGCAATGTATTTTGGATATTATATATATGAAAAATATATATATATAATTTTGCAATTAATCTTTTTGTTACTATTTGTTGTTCCTGCATTGTATTATTACCTTTTATAAAAGGGCTTTGTAGATAAAATGTGATAAAAAAAAAATAAATTGTTTTACATTACAAACTACTGAAACTCATTTCCTTGATGTTTTAAAAGTGTGTTACATCACTTCTCTGTCCAGATTGAATAATCGGTAATACTTTATTTGAAGGCTACATACTCATATACTACATAACACATGAATAATAAGCACTGAATAAGACATTTATGAAACAGTATTTGAGCATTTATGACCAGCTTATGCTTGTATCTGCCAGAAAACAAGGTGTTCTGTGAAGTAAATGACATTGCATTGACATTAGGGACCATAAACTAAAGTGATCGATGTTTATTTCATTCATAACACTGTTACAAAGCATTATTCCGAAGTACTTTATATCCGTTCTATGTAGTTCTACAAAAGAACAAAACAATTTTGTCCAAACAATGTGTCATTTGCTTCAGCTCATGGTATCTTGCAATTACTGGTGTAAGATGTTCATATATACTCAAGTGTTGCTTTATAAATATGTTATTCCATGCTTATACATATGTTATGATGTCCTTCTGTAGGTAGCCTTTACATAAAGTGCGACCGCATAATCTCAAATGTGAAGTGGGTCAGTGTCCTCCATATTAGATTATTATTAATCTCAATTATCCTCATAAAGGTTTCTATGAAAAGAATGAAACATTTATATTTGTACATAGCATTCACATATGTAAAGATATAAAGGCATTATAAAATTATTATAAACTAATTTAATAATTCATTATATAATTAAGCAGCAATAAGCTGCATTACAGCAAAATTAACTATGGTCATTATAAACAAATGTAAATCAGTTACACTAACTATATGAAATTTACAGTAGTGCATATGGCATTGATCAAGGTTAATGGATTTTAATAGCTGAAATGATGCTCATAACTCCTAAAATGTGCACTTAAAACTGCAGACACATACCCAAATCCAGGTTTGTACACTTGTTACTGTATATTTTTGATATGGATGTACTTGCATTTTCATGACTAATAAATGTTACTGTTGAAATGATGCTCATTAACTCCTAAAAAGAGCTTAAAATTGCAAACACATATCTGAAACTAGGTTTCTAGTGTAGGTAATGTGCGTTTGCATTTGGAAATACTTATAAATTTTATGTTTAATTCATCCAAAACAGAGCTTAAAATTGTAGATATGTATATCTGAACCGTATCTGAAGTTTCTAGTCCAGTCAATGCATACTTATGGTTGAAAATACTAGCACTTTTATGGTAAATACATTTTAATGATAAAATGATGCTCAATAACTTCTAAAATGTGTTTAACATTTGCAAACACATATCTGATCCAAGGTACCTAATCTACCTAAAGTTTATCTATGTTTGGATACACAACCATTTTTTACTGTCAACAGATTTTAAGGTTAAAATGTTGCTTATTACCCCTAAAATGTGCTTAAAAATTGAAAACACACATCTGATCAAAGGTATCTGAATGTATGTTTGGAAATACTACCATTTTTTACTGTCAATAGATTTTAAGGTTAAAATGATGCATTTTATCCCCTAAAAAGTGCTTAAAAATTGCAAACACACATCTGAACCAAGATTTCTAATCTACTTAATATGTATTCATGTTTGGATATACTAGCAATTTTTTTTTACTGTTTATAGAGTTTAAGGTTGAAATGATGCTCATTCACCCCTAAAGTGCTTGAAATTTGCAAACACACATCTGAACCAAGGTTTCTAATCTACTTAATACGCATTTATGTTTGGATATACCAGCATTTTTTACTGTTCATAGATTTTAAGGTTGAAATGATGCTCATTCACCCCTAAAAAGTGCTTGAAATTTGCAAACACATATCTGAACCAAGGTTTCAAAGATATACTAGCATTTTTCTATTCTATATAATGTATGTTTACATTTGGATAAACAAGCATTTTTATGGTTAATAGATTAAAATGTTCAAATAACACTCATTAACTCCTAAATATTGCTTAAAATTCCAGACACATATCTCAGCCAAGGATTCTAGTCAATGTATTTTTGTATTTGGCTACACAAGCGTTGTTATAGTAAATATGTTTCAAGGCTAAACTTATTAACTAACAAAAAATGGCAGGTAATTAAGACATTTAATTTCAAGTTTCCATCCTAAAATTTTCCCCCATCAGAAGCCTTTAATAGGATGAGCACCACTGGTTTGTTAGTTGTAATTTTCCCTAGCTAAAAAAAAAAAATAATGTAGTGTTGTGCGTAGGCATGTGTCTTAAAAATATACAAATCTCTCCTCCCTCAGGGAAGCTGAGTGCGTGTGTGTGAGAGTGAGTGTGTATATTTATGTGTGCGACAAACACGAGCAAATTCCCTTGTTTACTGGAAATACCTCTGCATCACTCTGTGTCTCATATACTGAGTCAGAGGGCAGCCGTTTTAAACAAAAGCATTCCAAGGTGCGCCACCCTTTCTTACGCACAAAATCAACCCCACTTCCCTTCAATAGACACCTTACAGAAAACAACATCTTTTTTTAGGCCTTGAATGTTGTTTGCAACTAAACTTGAAAGAGAATCCAAGATAAAGATCTTTGTGTTTGTTTATTCTACTGGTTGCAGAACTATCAAATTTAAGGTTTTTCTACTAATGTTCAAATAATTAGGGGAATTTAAGTCCTGACTAATTCAACTATACAATGTGACGAATCAAAGTCAAAGCATTTCTAAATGACCTTTAATAAAAACAACCTAAAATGACTCATTAGAATAAGCCGCCATGGTGCATATTGAAGTTTATGAAGTTGATGCAATGGGGTCGCAATCTCACATGGGAGGCCATAGCTTTGCGTTGGCTGCCCTCTTGTGGCGAATATTGGACCTGCGAAACTAGAGAGCCTTTGGGAACAAAGTAAAGTTTCATTAACATTTACCAGCATTAAAAATAAACTCATGATTCTTAGTATTTATGAGAACTTATCATGTGTAAACATTATGGTAGTTGTGTAGCATTTGGCACCAAAGAGATTGAGACAATTGGAAGACTAGGAGAATTTATTTGTTTTTCAGAACATTATTTTAGAACATTTATATTTGCCTTATAAAATCATTTGAATTGTGATAGATGTCCATACATTATAGCATTAGCATTGAACGGCTCTGATGATTGCTAAGCACACATTATATGACCAAAGAACTTCCTCACACTTCCAAACCAAAGTTGAGTACAAATATATACATACATACATATATATATATATATATATATATATATATATATATATATATATATATACACCGATCAGGCATAACATCATGACCACCTCCTGGTTTCTACACTCAGAGAAACAGATGGACTACAGTCTGTAATTGTAGAACTACAAAGTGCACCTATATAGTAAGTGGAGCTGATAAAATGAACAATGAGTCTATATATATATATATATTTGGATACATAAAATAATGTACAAAAAAAGCATGTACATGTTCATTCCAGCTTTTCATTGCAACACCACTTATATTATTGTTAAATTGCTGATGCCTTTAGAGTGAGAATCAAACAGATATTTGAATGTTTGTTCAGCAGTACAAATGGATAACTCAACTCAAAGGACTCTCCAGTCCAAAACTGGACACCTTGCAATGCTAATTAGACATACATAGCTATCATGTACACACAAAAGTACACCATTTGAAGCTAGAAACCTTTTTTTAATGTGTAACAAAGTAAATAAAACTGCTATACCTACTTAACTGGCTAGATATCACTAATAAACTAGGCTACAATGTTAATATTTTTAATCCAGGGGAGCTGGCAGTGTTGTAGTATCACAAGTAGCCTTGCTTTAAAACATCCTTGATAGTCGTGAACATTAGAAAAGTGTAGCTGGCTCAGTCTGCTACAGTAAAGGAATATGAAAGTTGCTGACTGTATATGGATTTCATTTCCCATGAGTCTGAGTGTCCAGGGACAAGAACATGTGATTTAAAACCAGAGATCCTCAACTTAGTTGTATTTTTAGCAAAGTTTACAACCAACAACATTAAAACACACTTCAAATACAGATGTATTGGGAGCAAATTATTGGGGAGGACAGTTCATTCCCTTCAAACATTCAAGATAACATGTCCCCCCACTCCCCTCATCATAGGCTTATGATATACACAGCTATCTATAGATGTGTTGCTTTCATATTGCTGTTCTGAAGGACAGCAATAGTGCAAGGATTTTGAGACTCTTGAAGGTCATTTATGAAAGCACTACAAGAAGGTGGTTGGCAATATCAGGCCTGTTTCTGACCATCTGGGGGACCTAAGTGATAACTTACTTTCCCAACTGCTTCAATCATATTATTTTGGATGCAAGAATAAACAGCAGTGAAATTATTATCATTGATGTTGATTAGGGAAAAGATGCTAAGCAAAGCGTAACTTAACTTTTTACATTTACTTAAACAATTTTTATACACTGCAAAAAGTAGAACAGGGTAGACATAAGATGTAAAATCTTTCTTTAAACTCAACCTGATTCTTGGGTTGCATTGAATGTTCTACTGAAATATTAAATGAAGCAGATTTTTTTTTTTTCATGCCCCACAGTTACAGAGCAAATATGTTGGTTCCAAAGATAAACATGAATGCATCACATGTTGGAAGCACCAGATAGGTCAGTTTTTTCTATCTCTTGAAACCCCTCATCATCAGTGCTGGCATTTGTGTTGGGAAAGTGGCTCTCCCCGTGATAATAGTAGGCACAGGGTGCAGTATCTACAGGAACCACTTTGGAGAAGTTGGAGAAGTCTACACAATACTTTCCCTCTTTGTTGCGGGAGATGATGGGGAGGAACTGGTAACCCCACATGATCTCTCGAGGGATATAAGAAGTCCTGACCTGGTAGGAGGAGCTGGTGGACTCAGCTGTGCCATCCAGAAACACCACCAGCTCAAACTCCTGGTGCTGCAGAGTATCCACCGTCATGTGAAAGAATGGGCTTGTTTCATCAATGACATGGTACAGGGTCAAAGGGCAGACAAAGAATAAGTTGTCCTTCCCCGCATCCACCATAAACTCAATGCTAATCTGGTCCATGATGATGGTTTCACCTTCAGGTGTGACAGTCATCCTAAGCAGCTTACCATAGATCTGGCTCCCAATGGTCAAGCTTTTGCGCAGGTTGGCTACTCGTATCTGCAAGCAGAGCGCGCCTTGTTTGGAGCAGATTACAGCCATCTCACTGAAGCTGATGGTCTTGGCTCTTTTCTTGGGCCGGGCAACTTTGGTCATAACCACGGCACACCAGAAGCAGATTATTATTGTACCGAAGACACACTGAACTGTGAAGACGGTGATGGCGCTAGGGCAATATGGGGTGATGAGCCGAAAGCCATAGCCAATGGACATCTGGGTCTCTATGGATTGGAGGAAAGCACCAGTCATGTCAAAGACATTCAGTACACAATAGCTGTGGTTAGCAAGGGGGTTTTGCCAGGATAAGTCACCATTAGCAATGGCAACCCAATACCAGAAGAGTCCAAAGATGAACCAGCTGAACACGAAAGAGGCCGATAAGTGAATGATGACATAACGCCAGCGCATCTCCATCAAGGTGGTCCAGAAATCAAGAACAGAGATGAAGAGCTTGCTATACCTCACACTGACATATGCGATGTTGCAGTGGCCATCTTTGGTCACCAGGCGGTTCTTCCGAATCCGGCGCTCGGCCAAGTAGTTTCTGAGCAACTCCATTTTCAGTGTGCAGTGAGCTCAAGCTGGGAATAGAAAGCACAAATATGCTGAAACTGTGCACAGAATTGGAGCAAATAATGAAAATTCTCAGAGTAATTTTTTGGAAATTGTGCATTATTTTACATATTGCTTCTCAGTACAATCAACTCAACTCAACAACTTTAATTGCAGACAGGAGAACATACAATATACATGCTAAATTCAAAATATCTGGATGATTCAGTGGCTGATATGCAAACAAAGTCATTTAGAATAGTTTGATGTGAAATGTGCTATTCTAGAGAATTACCTTCTCTGATTTCTTTACAGTGGTGGTGATAGGAACCAGAGGTCACAATGTCTACAACACAAATATGGACATTTTGTTTACTATCCTAAATGTTCAAACATGTCTTCTGAAATTTATACATTAAGATTAAGATTAAGATTAAGATTAAGTGACCCTTATTAGTCCCACAATGGGGAAATTTCACCTCTGCATTTAACCCATCTGTGCAGTGAAACACCCACATACACACGAGTGAACACACACACTAGGGGGCAGTGAGCACCTTGCCCGGAGCAGTAGGCAGCCCTATCTGCAGCGCCCGGGGAGCAGTTGGGTGTTAGGTCCCCGGGCGCTGCGAATAGGGTTGCCCATACAGTATATCGAGGTAAAACAGTGGCAAGTTTAAAAAAAAAAAAAGGTTACTTTGGGTAATTACGCAAATGTATCTTAATAGTTGTAATCATTTCTCTTGTGTAATTACACCTTTAATAAGGTAAGGGTCATTATTTCCAATTGAACTGCTGCTTTTCCAACTCAAACTTTCTGATTGTAACAGGAGGTGTGTGAGTGTAAAAAGTGTACAATTAACTTCAAAATAAGAGTATCAACTTTCCTAACATTTAGCTAGCAGCAGTAGCATGCATGTGTTGTTACATGGTAACCAAAGTTCTGGTTCTAAAGCAGAACCGCAACGGTATTTACACAGCTACAGCAGACGTCCATTTACATTTAAAATATTTATCTTTATGCTAGCACTTTGACATTACAGGATCATACTAACCCATTTGATTTGGGTACAATAAGTAATATTTTACCCAATTTTTACATGTAAAATATTTCTATAGTGTAAATATTCATTTGCTTTTCTACTTATGACATTTATATTGTTAATTCATCACCATTCCCATGTGTAATATAATCAATACTTCATGTGCAAAGCTCCATGTGCAATTTTCCATGTGAAATTTGGGGAAGATGTCCTTAGAGCGTAAATATTTTTTGCCTTTTTTAATTGTTTATATTGTTATTTTTTGTGAATAGAGTTTATGTAAAGGATAGAGTTTATATATATTTTTTTTATATTTAGTATATATATTGTCTGTATAGTAACAGCAAACTGTAACCTTGTTATGGCATTAACAGGGTTAATTATTTTGTTTGGTAATTCTCTTCTTAATACTTCTTTTTGTTGAGTGCCTTGCTCTCCCTTTGCTGCTGTAGCACTGTGAATGGTGGGACTAATAATGCATTATCTTATCTTATTTGATCAGGTTATGATGTTACAACACAGTAACAGTGTAATAGTTACACTTTAAAATAAATGAATAATTCTTGTATAGTTGTTGCGTAAATACAGTAAAAACACAGATTGGTAATCCAGACATTGCTTTTGGAACAGTATAATGCAACACAAGTTACTTTTAAAGATATGCTTTAGCGGTTATAATCCATCTGTAACAGTGGGCATATCAGTAATGACATTGTTGTTGCATGTATTATTAATGTGTAACTACACAGAGATTTGAAGAATCTGCTGTTGCTATTGGAATTCATCTGTAACAGTGAATACACAAGGTTGGAGTTATATATTTTTGAATGTACAATTAATGTAATATAAAATAGGACTAGACATAAACTTTAAGAGAAAAACTTGTCCATATCCCCCTCCATCCCAATGTGGACCTTTGCTCGCAAACACAAATATTCTGTCTGTAAATACTCAGCAAAGATGCCCAAGCAACACCTATTACTTCCAGTACCAACCGCCTTTACAATATTACCCAGACCTTTTTTGTGCTTCACAGTCAAGTTTCCATACCGTGCAATCAAAGGGATAATAAGAACTGATTCAATTGAAGACTTAAGATAGAATACAAACAAGTCCAAGCCACAAAATTCCAATTAAGAATAAATGCATAAACTTTTTTAAGCTAAACATGATTGAATAGTATTTAAATGTCATATATTCCAGTGTCATGGAGTTTTTACAAGTACAGTCTATAAAGATTGCAATTTTTCTAGAAATTCTGCACTAACTATGGATTCATGCCATGTTTTCAGAACATTTAAAGGAGGAGAGAACAAGACTCTAAATTGCTGTTTTGCCTGTAGAGACTTGCTTGAACACAAGTTCACAAAAAAATAAAAAATTATAGGTTTAAAGGTTATTTATAGGTTTCAAATGCATTTAGTTAAGAGTGGCTCCTCCAGCCCAACCAGAATGTACCTTTTATTTTAAAGCTTGTAGTTATGTAATTCCATATTAAAAAGTGAGGATATAATTAAGGATCTCTTTAAAAAGCCTTAGTATTAGTGTTAGTATTAGTATCCCATGTTTACTTTAGATCCTACCTCATGGAGAAGATCCCCTGAAACTGTTGCAGGTTACAAATCAGCCAATAGTTTCTCTTATTTCCAAATATTCTTTAGCAGCAAAACTTAAAAGTAAATGTTTGTGGTCTATCATTACTTTCTGTCTTATTTCCTTTCTGCCTCTCTTTCTCTCTCACTCACTTTCAAAAAAATGGGCTTTTGTTTGACAGCCTCACCTGGACTCAGCGAGTCATTGTTTACCTGTACACAAATGTCATTGTTTTCATGAGGGGGATAGAGAATGTACCCAGCAAGATCTTGGTTTTTGATTCAGTTTAGTGGCCCAAATGCACATTTCCATTTACTGGACACACAGTCCTCTTACTCTGCTTCTTACAAATGAATTGAGAACTCTTGAACTGAGGTTTGGAGACCCTATTTTGGTTCACCTGCTTACGGCACCTTACAGGGTCACCTGGGATTCTCTGCTCTCCCAACTGCTACCGCGACCCTATCTGGACTAAGCGGTTAATGATGATGATGATGATGATGATGATGCTTACGGCACTAACCACAGCTAAAACCATAGATCATGTCAGTGCCAGTAAGATGAACACTTCTCATCATTTTTGGGTTTAACATTGATTTTTTTTCTTAGTGAAGTTCATATTTAGATTTATAGCTCTATAGAAGCTCACTTTTATTTGTTTTACACTTATTTGTTTGTTTCTACAGAACGCAGTCTTTCTATTGGTTTATCATTACATATAACGGTTTACTTTTTTTTTTTATTTTGTTATAAACAAACACAGCTGGCATGGTAGTGCTTCTCCATGCATGCACGTCATTTTGAATCAGATTAATTGTAGTGAGCAGGTAAACGAAGAATTTCCATCAGATTGTTGAACAGAGTGAGCATAAACACCTCAGTCTTAATCTGTAATCGGAATGTATTCAATCAGATTGGCAAAAATCTGCATGTAAACAATGCCAATGTTGCAATCATTCAAGATTTTTGTTTAGTAGAATATTATTGTGGATTTAGGAGTGACAGTAGATGATGAACTATGAATTTGAAGATGGATTTTTTAGTGATTTCAGTGGATTTCACTGTCCTGTCTACTTTGCAATTAGGCTACAAAATGAATAATTAGGATAACAATTTTAAAATCAACATATTTATTATGTTGAAACTAAAAACTGAACATTTCCTGTGTTTCAAAAAAAATATTTCTGAAACAGAAATGTTATTTCTGCCTAGGACACTGGGCTAGCACATGAAATGTATGTAACGTGTGTATTATGTATAAAATCACATATAAATACATAACATGTAATAGAGCTTATGTACTTTCTACTGACATTTTTCATCTATAACCTTTTTCAACTATTTGTTCATTTTAGATAAAGTCATTTAGTTCAGTGGATATGCTTTATGTTACAATGCTCTTTGTTTATTATTCAGATTATGATGTAGATGATGTTTATTCATGCAGATGTCCAGGCAGTTCAAAGAGTTCAGAAACGTGTTCATGCCTCTGTATATACAGTAAACACAGGTTCAGTGCTTGACTTGTATCTTATAATATTTGTGGTAATAAAAGCTACTGGTAGGCATATCATACATAGCTGCATGACATTTTATGGGTCAGTGTGCTTCAATGAAATGTTGTCCACTCACACCGTGGCCAGTGGAGGTTCTGGCCAACAGCTGTTTTCCGGATATTACGTTCATGTTTATATTAGTGGTATTACTTGTTTTGTATCTCAAAGAAGACAGGGACAGGTACACGGTCAACAAACAGTTATCAATAAATGGTTGGTTTCTAGGAACACTGACCAGTGGTCAACAAACTCAGACTTAAAGATCAGTTCTTTGGAAAAAGAAGCCGGTTTTCAACTCATACAGCAAGTGTGTTTTGTAGTGTTTCATGCCAACATACAGCAACTTTTTAGACCACATCCTGTTGTCACAACTTGCCCATAACCAGTCCAGCACAGTGAATACAAAGCAAAAGTTTACCAATACCATCATTGTATGATCAAACGCTTCATATTTATCAATAAATATACACACAATAAGTTCCAATGTTCCAGTATTTTAAAATGACTCTGTAAAACTTTGTCCAACTAGGCTAAGAAAGGAAGCAACAGTTTGCAGAAAAAAACAACAACAAAAAAATAAAGCTAACTAATACATTATAATACACCTTACATAAGCTGGTGTCCAAGTTTTCCTTTAGTTACCCTGAGTTTATCTCATATTTGAGCACTGTCTGGACTGCACTGTCAAAGGATCTATAAATAAAAAGGTGTAACACAATAAAGAAGTAAACCAATACTCTCTTCAGGAGTTATTGTCCAGTTTCTTGTGTCTTTCAGCTTACTGTATATCAAATATCTTCTGGGAACTGTCTGAACTTCACTGTAAAAAAAAACAAAAAAAAACTTTAACTTACCTGGAATTGACTGGACTTGGTTTTTAGTCACTGTAGTGTTTCTCACATATTTTTAATATAACATTATGATACACATATTGAGGCCTTATTACTGTATTGTTCTTTGATCAGAAAAGCTCAGGGGTTAGAAACTTCTAAATAGTTTACTCACTATGCATTAAGCTTTATTCACTATCACATCATTATATCAACTCTCTTGTTAGTTCATCTCACTATATCACCTCTCTTGTTAATACACACTGTGCAGTATTACAACAATATACTGTAATGACACTGAGTTTCACTCTGCACTTTACACTGTAAATACTGCTGTTACTCCTAGTTATGCTTATAATCACTGTGTTGTAAACGTCCTCAAAGCACTGCAATTCCTGCTCTCATGCAAATTAAACAACCTTCTTATATGCTATGCTAACTTATCACTATTTATTTCTGCATAATTTATGCCTATTTTATTTCTATTTTTATTTCTACCTAATGTTTTTAAGTTGATATGCAATTAAATGTCTTGGTACTGTAACACTGCAATTTCCCTTTGGGATCAATAAAGTTCTATCTATCTATCTATCTATCTATCTATCTATCTATTGGTATCTTTATGAATTTGGGTCATTTCTGATGAAAAATTTACCTAGCGCCTATATTATAGAGGTCTTGAAAACAAGTTACACCTCAGAAACCTTTTCAGAAATTGTTAGTCTGGAGTGTCTGTGAGCTGAAAGTGCAATAATTTTGAAGGTGATTCATTCTGTTGGTTATTATGAGTAAAAATAAACAATTAGCATAAGGCGGACATGTTTTTTTTATTGAGTTTCTGTCCTCTTGGATTCATGCTCAGTGCTAAAACTCTGATACACGGCAAGACTGGCTTTGTTTTTAATTACAAATTGAGTTGCATATTTAATATCAGATATTTTTATTATTCAAAATCAATGTAAACTGAAAGCCGTTTGTTTATAATATGAAGGCTAAAAGCAGAGATATAATGTAGAAGTAGCGAGTGGGTTGTGGGTGATTTTGGAGCTGGATCTCTGGCTGATGGATGGTCACAGGTGGATGAAATCACTCTGGATGGTGAAGCAGAGTCTGATGATGATCTAATGTGTGAATCATGTCGCTGTTTTACCCCTTGGTTGGAATATGAAGGCCAAACAGCAGAGCAACAATATCAGGATTTTAGGTGATTTTCTGAGCTGATTTACTCACTGATGTTTATGTAGGAAGTGTGCATCCCATTTAAAGAGACACTTATGTGGTTAATGTTGTTATTTCTTAGTTAGTTTAAAGGTATGTGCATGTTTTATAGTGTTATTCTCTGTCAGAGGGTGTTGGTGTTCTTTGATGGGGGTCTCCTGCATGAGTTCAGTGTTATGTCACTTCTAGAACCAAAGAATAGCTCCATCAGTTTGCACCAAAGTCCCTGTAGTTACTGAATAATAAGCCTTTGCATGAAACAAACCAGGAATGTTAAGGGGTCAATAGAGAGCAGTACTCACAGCAGAATCAGGGCCTGGTGCCACAGTATTATAGGTATTAACAAAGAATCTAGCTGAAATAATCGTGCTTTCCCTTTTTGTGTAGTAGTACTGCTGATTCGATTCACAAATGGCTCTCTAAATATTGCACTGTAGTATTGAGGTTGGCTGAACGTGGTTTATTGTATTGTCTTTAAACTATTTTGTGTACAGGTAAACATAACTCATGTTATGGCCAGCCTGAGGGCACAATAGGAAAAAACAGAGAAGATAAACCAGGCATCAGAGTGACGGCGAACTTGGAACAGGGGTGTTGATTTCAGAGAGAGAGAGAGAGAGAGAGAGAGAGAGAGAGAGAGAGAGAGAGCGAGAGAGAGAATGAAAGACTGTCACCTTCACTTTTGATCTGCAATACATCCAGCTGCTTTCTCAATCTCTTGGATGTGCTCGGAGGACCTTGTATAGCAGGTAGGCTCCACACTTCATTCCTCTGTCCTTTCTGAAGAACTGTGAGAACCTTTAATAGACCACAGAGCCTTGTGAGAACCTTTGGTGGACCACAGAGCCCTGTCTTTGCTTTTGCTGCCCCTCCGTCAGGAACTACATGACCCATGGTCCATCTTGCAGGTCTTTTTAATTATTTGTCATATTTATATTTGCTGTTTTCTGTTATTCCACAGTAGGTCAACTGTATTATAGAATAAGAGTCTCTCAATTCATCCTGCACAAGTTTTGAGCAATACATTCAACAGATTGGAGCAAATGAAGAATTCAATTTAATACTAATGATGTTATATACATATTACAAATTAACAAGCAAGTCTACAATGAGGGAAGAGCCTTAGAGCTCTGGAAAGACAAAACCACACTCTTTGTAAGTGTTTATTAGCTTGTATCTTGAATTGAATGGCATAATAAAACTTTAAAAATGAAAATATTGAGATATTAACATAAGTTAGATTTTTAGCTGCTCCTTATTGTTGCTGTATTGAGAAATGTATCGATTCAAGATGCTACTGTACTGAACCTAAAAATGAATTTACATCTGTGATAACTTAGTTACACAGAAATAAGATGTTTCATTTAATAGTTCAGGTTTTTAGGAAAATAAAGGTGTTAAATGATAAATAATATCATGTAATTATCTACTTAGAGCAACTTTTTGAAAAGTTTTCAGCCTTAAGATTTGATCACCACTTTTGAAATATGAGGTTCTCTGTTCATTTTGTTATAACTTTATTCTCCACATTGTACATATTTTTGGTGATTTTGGAATTATTTACAGGTCGATTTATCATTCTGGACACTTTTAGTATTTCTTCACGTTTTGCAGATTCACACATTAGTTTTTATATTTGAAGACGGTGAAGTTGTAGAGTAGTAGCATCGTAATATGCTCATTTTATACACCTATCTTCAACAAATTATTTTTTATAAATAAAAATAGAGATTTTAAACTTCTGAATGGCACTTCAGTTAAACATCTTCATGTTATTTGTTGTCAACATTAATTACAAAACTGCATCAACTTAAATTTTCAGACTTTTTTTTCAGATTGAAAGCAATTTAAAAGTTTCCACTTCCAGTTATTATATTTATTTATTTATTTACTGATTGATTTGATTTATTTGTAAATTTTGTGAGGGATACAGAAGACAGCATTTATTTGATTGGAAATAAAACCTACTGCCACACCATTTAATAGGCATACATGTAAAAATTAAACATAATTTTTGGTACATTAGCATGTACATAATAAATTATAAGATTACTCACTGAGAACTTTGCCACAGTGTACCCCCTTTCTGTTTTATAATAAAAATAACGAAATATTATGCACTGTTTTAAATACTCACATTTGAAGGAATGCAAATGTAAACAATACTATTGTATGTAAGAACTAATGTGCGAAATACTTGATATATTTCAGAATGTAATACTAACCAAGTACATAATACATATTAACATTCTGCTTCAGCAAATCATCACTGTCCAAAGAAAACCATGTATCTGCTTTTTAGTTTTCTACATCATTTCAACACACCAGCTGTCCTTTATATTTCAAGAAAATTTCATGATGAATGGACCAATAGAAATGCTCTAAAATCGCTTGGAATAAAATCTCTTTACATTGACTTACCTTGAAAGGTAAGTGTGATTTTGTTCTTATTTTGAAGATACTTGTTTTCCTTTGGACAGTGACAAAATTCATGTATACTTCATAGAAAAGAGAAGGTAAGTATAGGAGACAGTAAACACTCGACTTCCTTAAGGAGAAATGTGGAAATACTTCAGCTCACACTGATATCATATTTATTGAAACGTTTGTAGTTCTTTTTTAATAAAGAAACACTTCCTGTCCAGATATTTGCCATATCGTTTTCTTTTGTACACCACTGTATAAAATAAATAAATGACCATTTCAAAATGTTCTATGTTCTAGACTGAGAGCCTTTGAATGTGAAAATGACACGCTCCTTGCTACAGCTGCTCATAGACGTTCTGACTGCGTGGCAGATTCACCGAACTCGCCTGGTGACCAAAGATGGCCACTGCAACATTGAGTATGCCAACGTGAGGTACAGCAACTTGTTGGCCTACATGCTAGATATCTGGACAACGTTAGTGGAGATCTCCTGGAGTTTTGTCATGTTCTTATTTGTGGCCTCCTTCCTCATCACTTGGTTTGTGTTTGGCCTTCTCTGGTACTGGATTGCCCGTGATCATGGTGACCTGTCGTGGCAAAACCCACCAGATTTCCTAAATGCATGTGTAGTTAACGTCACTGGTCTTACCGCTGCCTTCCTCTACTCCTTGGAGACACAGACATTTATAGCCTATGGTTGGCGAGCCATCACTACTCTTTGCCCAGGTGCCATCACTGTCTATGTTATCCAGGTTATCTTTGGTACAGTCATTATCTGCTTTTGGGGTGGGGTGGTTACAGCAAAGATCTCACTGCCCAGAAGAAGAGCCAAAGCCATAGTGTTTAGCGAGATGGCTGTCATCTGCTGTAGACAAGATGCTCTCTGTCTGAAGATACGAGTGGCCAACATGCGCAAATCGCTGATGATTGGGACTCAAATTTATGGCAAGCTGATCAAGACGACGGTCACACCTGAAGGGGAAACCATCATCATGGACCAGGTCAACATTGTTTTCAGAGTGGAAACTGGGAAAGACAACCTGTTCTTCATCTCTCCATTGACTCTGTACCATGTGATAGACAGGACGAGTCCCTTCTTTGAGATGGCAGCGGACAATCTGTACCAACAGGACTTTGAGCTTGTGGTGTTTCTGGACAGTGTTGCCACATACACTAGCTTGTCTTGCCAGGTTAGGACTTCCTATGTTCCTAAAGAGATCATGTGGGGTTACCAGTTCCTCCCCATCATCTCTCGCAGTAAAGAGGGCAAGTATCGCGTGGATTTCTCCAACTTCGCCAGAGTCGTGCCCGCATCGACTGCACACTGTGCCTACTGCTTCCACAGTGAGAGAGAACAGCATCACCACTCCAGACATGGCACTGTCAATGAGGGTTTTGAGATGATTGAAACCAGTGATCAGTAGGGCTGGGTATTATGGGCCAGAAAGGTTTCAGTATAGGGACCGATATAGGTACCTTAAATTAACAATGGTTAACTAATATTAAGTAAACAAGTAACAACTGCATTCACTAATATTATATATTGTATATGAAAAGGAAAACACTAACTTACAATGGAAGTTAATTTCTTTTGGCCTGTTTGTTGTGAAATTTGAACACAAAGCAAAGAGTAACTGGAATTTGAAAAATGTCTAAAAAATTGAGATACAAAGATTTTCCTTGACATTGATGATATATAAAATCACAATTGCATTCCAAAAAATGCTAAAAAAAAAATAACTCAAACACTTAAGTATTAATTTAATAATGTAAGTACATGATAAGTATGTATATACACTGTAAAAAGTGGCTTGTCAGATCTACTTAAAAAAATTAATTCATGTGGTAACAAACAATTGAACTAGTTTTATTCAATTCAAAAAATCACTTTGATTGAAAGAATCGTTCATTTAAAGTATTATTTAGGTTGAAAAAAACTACATGGAGATTCACTCGAAAGAGGCCCAGAATATTCTGTTGTTAAGATGAACCAATCTGAACCAAAAAAATACGCTACATACCTTGACGTATGTGTAATTGATTGCATTACATGCAGTGCTGGAAGTGATCTCTGTTTTCTGCCAGACACATGAAGCAGTACGGGGGTATGCACCTGGAAGTTGCAAACAGAGGTTAAACGTCGCAACAGCTGTTCGGCGCCTACCTCATCGCTCCGATGCAGGGGCATCCTGGCTTGTTCAAAGCTCCATATACTGAGGAGCACATTACACATTGTTTCGTTCAGATTGGTTCATCCTAGCATGAGTTATTACAGAATATTCGGGGCCTCTTTCGAGTGAATATCCCTGTAGTTCAATTGCTTGTTACCACATAAAGTAATTTTTTAAGTAGATCTGATGAGCCACTTTTTACAGTGTAAATTTATGATTTCAGCATAGAAACATATACTTACATAACATACTGTGGTGTGCGTCACAGGCCAACACTACAATATCATTGAAACTTTTTGTAACCCTCATATTTTTAATCTGAAAATGTTCATTCCATGACAAAGTACTTTATGATGCCGTCAGTGTGTTTTCACATGTTAAGTAGGTTTGATTTACTACATGTCTTGTGAGTTGCAATCACTTTCACCTTCTAATAAAAAAGGCAAGTCTTCAGCTCCAATATTTGTGTTTTTTGTCCTATGCCAGGAGCCAAATAGATGACATTAGTTTGTTGGAGTAGTGTTTTTGTGCTGAGCTATGGATGCCAGTTTCATTTCCACTATATAACTGAAAATTTCTGAATTAACTGCTGTTACAAATAAATTATATTTCTGATTTATTCTGATCTGTGTCGGTGTATTTTATTCCACAGTTATTAAGTTGATGCAATTTGTGAACTGAATTTTGGTACGCTGTAAAAAATTACTTCATGTGGTAACAAGAAAATTAACTAGTTTTATTCAACCTAAATAAATACTTTGAATGAATGATTCTTTCAAGTCATTTTTTGAGTTGAATAAAACTAGTTTGCTTGTTAGCACACAAAGTATTTTTTAAGTAGATCCGACGAGACATTTTTTTACAGTGTACTGATATTCTACAGTCACTTTGTTTGCTGATGATAAAAATACTTTGACTTTTTTGTGAACCCACGAATATGCCAGTGAAATAAACCAACTATGTGTAAGAATTTAAGAAAGACTCAGTAAAACTGTGTCAACCAATCAAAATATTGCCACATTTCTATGGGAATTTAGAGAGTTGCTCAGCTTGAATGAAATCTAAACAGTAACTAAAGAATAGCAGAATAGAAGAATATAAGGATTTTGGAGGACAGGAAAACAAGGGGCACCAATAAAGATCACTTTATATTTTAAATCTTTCTTTTGCATTTATCATGAGATGGGCTTATAGAAGTTTATATCCGATTCAGCAACCGCAAGCTATTTCATCTATATGTTTCAAATGTCCACCACTTGTATGTAAATTTGCATGATTGACGCCCTTAAATGCCAAATAAGGCCAGACACATCACTTCATTTGTCCAGCATAATGCATAAAGTGGAATCATAAAGAAGCAAGCCAAGGAAAACAAAATGTTTACAACAAAAAATCTAAAAAATATTGTGGCTTTCAGTAAATATCCAGTTATGAAACATCTGCATATCTTTCTTGTTGATATTAATATACCAATAATATCATGCTAATAAAAAATACTTATTGTAGTGGATTTTTTATCATAACAGTACCGTATGATTGTTTTATTATTTAACTGTTAAAAATATGAATAACCTGAATGTAAAGTCAGTGTGATCTACTCTGCACTTTACTTCAGGATTAATAAGTACATACAAGGCATAATAAATGTATACATGTATGTATGTATGTATGTATGCATGTATGTATGTATTTACTGTATCTATCTAACAGTGTATATTGTTCATTCAGTCATATAGCATGATCACTTAGATTTTTTTTTTTTTTTAAGTATTACTTTAATCAATAAAAATGGGTGCAAATCTAATGAATTGCTGGAGAGCTTATGGAAAAAACTCATGGCGGTTGTTTAAGCAATTAGCATTAAAAATATCCACTACAGACCAAATGTATGACTGAAACTGGCACAAAAAGCTTAGTACATCAGGTCCTATGGGTTCTCTTAGGGCCTGCCATTACCTATGGGTACTGACTATCTGGTTTTGAACCCACATGATAGTAAAAAGACCTAATAACCCAAATAAAATCACAAAAAGTATATATGGCGCTATTCACATTTGGCATTAACATACATCTTGGGTGATGCAACCATAGGTGTAAAGGTATACAGGGGTTGAATGCATCTCAGAGTTGCATTGTAATCAGATCACTCGAGCTACCTTCAAAGGGGGTCAGGGATCGATACAACCACATTTGTGGTGCAATTGCTAAAGTGCCCCAGTGCATCCCCAGTGTGTCATAACAGCAGACATGAAATTAGCTGCATGGCTTCTGTTGTCCATTTGAGAAAGTTAATAAACTAATGGTCACTGGAGGTGCATTCAAGACTCAAAAATACATCTATATGTGCACTATTGGATGGGTGGATGGATGGATGAATGGATGAATGGATTTTTTGGGGTTTTGAATGTTCCTCCAGTTACTACTTATACACTTCCAATCATATTCATGTGTGGTCATGGGGGGCACTTTCAAGACCCATAGATATGAAAAACTGCCCACTTGTGGTCAGATCATTTAACACATACCAGGTATGAACATAGCCTGTGTTTTGCATTTATTGGTTCCATTCAGGTTCTGAAATGGCAAATATGTATAGAAATGTATAGTTTCATGTGTGTGTATATGTGTGTGTATATATATATGTGTGTGTATATATATGTGTGTGTATATATATATATATGATGGTACTAATAGCAGATGCCACAATTGATATGAGGAACTTGGTCTTACTTTGTCTTCATGCTGCCAGTCATGCTGACTGAATTTGGCAAATTCTGGCCCTAGAAACCCCACATATGACCCCACATGCTGTGGATGTTTTTGGTTTCCCTGCTCCAACGCAGGCAACTCACTTGAATTGAATCAGACATGTTAACCCGTCAAAGGTTTCATAAATACTTCTATTATCTAATAACACCTCAGCCAGTTTGCATTGAATTCCCCATAGTTATTGAATAATAAGCCTTAGTATGTAATAAGCCTGGGATTTTAAGAGGTCAGTCTCCTCAGTAATATCTCCTTTAGCCATTTCTGATGCACATGAGAAAGAAATTTGCGCAGCAGCTAAGGTAAGTTTGGGAAAAGGTGAGTTAGTGCCTCTTTGAAGAGTGGACAAATGAAATACTGATAGACTTTTTTTTTTTTTTCCTTAAAATCCCAGCCTCATTACATACTAAGACATACAACTAATCTTAGGTTATAGAATGTGTAATAAAACTTTGGGCCCTGGCTATTTAAGGGGTTAATGTAAAGAATATGCAAGAATTTTTTGATGTCATGTCGATACACTGCATGGCTTGCAACAAGATGTCACTGTTGAACTTGTAGAACTAACTATCTGTCCCCCTTATCCCCCCCCTTTCCCTGAGCTCAGCGGCTGCCCGTCCCAAGAGGGTCTGATGTGAACACCACTCAATCTCGTCCCAGGGGGTTCTGATGTGGCCGGTGCTCCGTCCTGTGTGGTCCTGTCGCTTTGTCTGCCATGATTGGATGGGCTGCTTGCGTGCATCGTAGAGTCTTGTGCTATGTGGATCCTTGTGAGGTCTTCACTGTACAAAGGACTCTTAACTACATTCCCAACACTGTACAGAACTGTAAAACTGTATCCACTTATACTGTTTTGTGTCTGTGCTGTTATCCGGTGTCGAGGATAAGGTTTCTTCCTCCTATTGAGGGAGTTTTTCTTTGCCACTGTCGCCAAGGCTTGCTCACTGGGGCCCGGACCCGGATTCTCTGTAAAGCTGCTTTGTGACAACATCTGTTGTAAAAGGCGCCCTATAAATAAATTTGACTTGACTTGACTTGACTTGACTTGACTTGACTTGACTTGACTAGAACTGACAGTAATTCACACCAGGAATCTGACTGAGTCATCTGACTAAGCAGTAGTGAAGAATATTTACATAGGAAGCCGGTTGATGTCTCAGTCACGTAAAGCCATATGAATTCTTGGTACTGTAACCTGCATATGGGCTGGTTTGTTTGTTTTTTTACTGACACCGTGGGTCATGGTGGTATTGGTCACAATCTTGTCACAAACCCAGTTATAATCTAATAGTTTGTATGTATATACAGTGCTGTGAAAAAGTCAGAGGCCACATTTTTATTAAATTTCCTGTCAGAACAGAGATTAAGTACAAATTCATTATTTTTTCAAATTCATTTTTCAGCATCTGGAAAAAGCAGAAAAACACACAAGTCTCAATAACTAACTAACACAATATAACTTTTTCAGTATTTACTGTATCACCCTTTGCTGTAATTACAGCTTTTATACTTTCCAGGAGTCTTGCTTTCAGTTTTTTCAAGAAAATCCACACTTAGAAATTGGTTGTATTTTTTGCTTCTCACAATCCAAGTATTCCCAAACACATCCACTGATTTTTAGGTTTTGACTCTGGGGTGGCCACTCTGTCATTCTGAGAACATCAGCAGCTTCATCAATGGCTTTTTTGACACCTATAGTCTTTCAGCCTCATAGCATTGAGTTGTCTTGTCACAGTGGAAGGAGGCACAGAAACTCCCATGGATTTTTTGAGATCTGAAGCGAGACTGGAGCTTGATTTTCTCACTTCAAAGATAAAAATGCTATTTTTCTGATAGTGACAGTTTTGCTGGTCTACCAGGGCTTGCATGCTTGTCCCATTTTCACAAAGTCTAGTTGTGGAAACTCCTTATTTATCCATTTATTTATGTTTCTTTGACTTTCTTCTGCTTATGCAAGTGAATTATCTTGCATCTAATGCCCTCAGAAAAACATCTCCTGTAAAATGAGTAACTTGTACTTAATGGCCATTTAAAATGGAAGTTAAATAAATTAATAGAATAATAATTGTTTCAGGGAAACTTTTAGCATGACATCAAACTGATGGTAGACTCTGTGTGTGGAAAGTCTGGAGAATAATTCCAAGCCTGGAGGATAATTCCAAGCCTGAAGGACAATTCCAAGGTGGACGTCTGGGGCTGTTTTTCTTACAGTGTCGGCATGAGTTTGCATTTATCGATGGGATCATGAGACACAGGAGGACGGGTCATAACAACTATCCCATAATACAGTATTCTGATAGATTAGTTTACCAATAGAGACAATAAATATATCTCAGTGTACCCTGTGAGACCCTTTAGTTTTGACAGCAGAGAATGCAATTTCAAACTATATAGGACTTCATTGTACATTTCTGTGAGAACTGAAATATTTCTGGTTCTTATATACCCATCAGTAATATAATACCATAACAGAATATTATCTTAACTTAAAATAGACTTGCTATACACCAGAAATCCATGTTAATATAATATTTTACTGTAATGTAATACAAAAGGCAGTACACAGTAGCACAGTACACAATAGAGTTTCCTGTTGACAAGTTGTTGTCTTGCTTCTTGTCTTGTGACCAAATCTGAAAAAAGAGAGAGGCTTTGGCATTTCCTGGGCAACTTCCAAGAATAAGCAGGTACGTCCTGTGCTGTTTATCCTACGCTAAAGTCACTAGCTTGTCCTAAATCATGTTGTGTAAATCCATCCTCTTCTCCTATAGCAAAAAGAACAACTGATTATGTATACAGGTAAACATCATGCACAACAGGTCCAGCCTTGCTAGTAGGAGGGGACCACAGAAAACCACAGAGAGGCACACAAAGTGTCAGAGACTCTTTTTGAAGCAAGGTGAGAACTAGAAAAAAAGAAGACAGTTTATAGAATAACCACCATGAATTGCACAACTTGTGTTCACAAACCCTAAAACGGTTAGTCATAGAGTCTACAGTAGATCTTCTACATGCTTTGCAAATTCTTTGGAGAGAGAAAATAGGAGACGTTCTATAGAAGGTAAGCTCTGCATTTGATATGCTACAGTCATTTTATTGTTTTCTGCTCTAAATGCTCTGTTCTATTGAATCTTATGAGAGATCAGTGATAAGAGCTCTAAATGAGGACACCAAAAAATGCTCCGCAATCTCCATCCATCCTGCCCAGCCTTTCTGCCGGACTGATTTCAGAGATGGCTACTGGCTAGCTTATCTTATCTGTCTTTTCAATTCATTTAGTTTTTCAATTGAAATATAGTCACATAATTTAATGGAGGGGAATGTCTGCTAATTTTTTAAAAGTTTTACATATAATTCAATTGTTGAGATGTAAGTCATTCAGAGTGGTTTGATGGGAAATGGTGCATTGTAGAGAAACCATTGTAGAGAATACAATAGAACCCAAAAAGACCAGTGAAGCTACATATGTTTTTATATGTAATGTTGATAATGGTAAGTCTTCTAGCTATTTTGTCTTAAAAACACTTGCATGTACGCTTACACCCAGAATACATTTTTGAAATTATGTGTTTTAGGCCAAAACTTTAACTCAAACAATCATAAAACAATGTCTCACTAAATAGGGAATGTACTGACGGTGAGTTCTTTTCAAAAATTTATATCAGTAGCTTTTAGAAACATCTACCCCCTAGGGGTCCAAAAACTCACCCACATGTCAAATTCAATGTTTATATTTATATTTGTCTATCTTTGCGATAATACAGCACAGAAATATGCTTTAAACATGTCCTGAAACTGTAGTCGCCCATTCTATCACATCATATTGCGAAATCATACGTGACTTATATCCAGAGTTATGAGGCTATGAAGAGGGGTTGAGATACATGTCATCTACCTCTTACCATGTGTAATTTGTTGATTCATTTGTCTGTCTACAATTTGTGTGAAACTGACCAATAGACACTCAGAAAATCACTAAGGACTGACCCATCACGTCAAAAACCATTCATTATTCGTTCAGTTGACGTAGACACAGAGACACAGTGAAATGGTGTACAAAGAGTTTACAGCTGCTGAAAAAAACTCAGTGGTTTTAGAAAGAAGGGATGAAGATGAAGTGATGGTAAGAAGCATTTGGGGATCATGTTACACGACAATCTGCGAAGGACAATTTAAGATGACATGCAAAAAATCAAGAAAATGTCCTTAGTACCCAGAAGTGGGTAAACACTTTAGACATCTGGGGTCGTATTACAGAAACATCTTAACTCTGAAATATTATCTGCTGAGTTACCATGACAACTTCAGTTAGGACTGAATTGAGGAAGGGATCTATTACAGAACGACAGTTGTAAAGTTCATAATTTTCTCCAGATAAAAACACAGTGTTATAGAAACATCCTAACTAGCCAAATTTCCTAAATACTGCCCTAACTTTAAGACTAAACTTTAAGACTTCTATTTTAACTGTCTATTTCTATCATTTTTAGGCAACTGTCATAGGCAGCATAGTTCACAGTAGCATACTGGCATTACATTTATTTATATTGCAAAATGATTGTGAGATGTTTTTCTTTTCTAACTTTGCACTTTAAAAATCCCAGACACTGCTGACATGATCTCCACCGCCCCCTCGTATAACATTCGTGTGATAATGTTGATGAAAACTTGTCAAATAAATTATAACCGTGATGGTGGTGAATAATGATGAGAAGAACATGTGGCTGTTTATTACAAGGAATAACGTTAGTGTGGTTGGCTAAAGCGTTTGGTTGGTAATGGTAGCTGTAACTTACATTTTTAACTTGAATCTGATGACATGTTAACATTTGATCTGTGCATGTATTGTCAGTTGCTAGGTAACAGGCATAACAGTTGATTATCAACCTCAAACGAGAAGGTTAAGATTTCCTAACTGGAGGTAAGATGCTGTAATAATAAGATTAAATTCTAAATTAAAATAAGATTCGATTCTGTAATACAAATTTGTGAAAAATCTTATCTTGATCTGTCAGATCTTAAGACAAAAACATAGGAACTTTCTATATTGTGGAGGTACAACAGTGGTTTTAAGGTCCAGCTGTGTACCTTAAATAGTTTTTTTTCCAGTGGAAACATACATATTTTTACCTTTTCATAACCTAATGTATTAAAACAGAACAATAAAATAAAAAGGCTGGAGACGAGACGGGGTCTGTGGAGTCAGTACAGCTTAGAAAATATAATTTTAATGGATTATGGTACAGTTATGTTCCCTGACTAAAGGAACTAAGATGTACCCTTGAGGGCTCCACCCCAGTTACAAGAGAGGCACTGCCCCAGTGACAGTTTAGTACCTTTATTTCTGAGAGTGTATTGAGTAAAAGCTTTTAACCTGTAGAGAATCGCTTCAACATGTGTCTGTATTCTATCCCCAGATTGACTATATCCATCTTGACAATGACACCCACCTTATCACAATGGTTGAGAGACTACTTGGAGGAGCGGCGGATTCACAGGAACCGTCTGGTCACCAAAGATGGCCATTGCAACATTGAGTTTGGCAATGTGAGGTACAGCAATCGCATTGCCTACCTGCTGGACTTATGGACCACCATCTTGGAGTTCCGTTGGAGTGTTGTCCTCTCCTTATTCACAGCCTCCTTCCTCCTCAGCTGGTTCATTTTTGGACTCATCTGGTTTTGGATCGCTCACGATAACGGAGACTTATGGTGGCAAAACCCTCCAGATGACCATAATCCTTGTGTAATAAATGTCATTGGCTTGACCACTGCCTTCCTTTTCTCTTTCACGTCTCAGATGACCATCGGCTACAGCATACGAGTCATCACCCCAGTTTGCCCTGGTGCAATCACTGTCCTCGTTATCCAGACTCTCATTGGGACAATTGTCAAAAGCTTCTGGTGCGGAGTGGTCATTGCCAAAATGTCCTTGCCTAAGAAAAGAGCCAAAACCATCAACTTCAGTAAGGTGGCTGTCATCTGCCCCAGAAACGATGCCTTGTGTTTGCAGATACGAGTGGCCAACCTGCGCAAATCTTTGCTGGTCGGGAGTCAAATCTATGGCAAGTTGCTCCGGACGACTGTCACGCCTGAAGGTGACACCATCATTATGGACCAGATCAGCATTGATTTCACGGTGGATGCTGGGAAGGACAACTTGTTCTTCATCTGCCCCTTGACCCTATATCATGAGATTGACAAGACGAGTCCATTCTTTGAGATGGCGGTGAACACTCTGCAACAGCAGGAATTCGAGTTGGTGGTGTTCCTGGACAGCACCGATGAGTTCACCAATTTTTCCTGTCAGGTCAGGACTTCCTATATCCCTCGAGAGATCATGTGGGGCTACGAGTTCCTCCCCATCATCTCCCGCAGCAAAGAGGGAACCTACTCTGTGGACTTCTCTGAGTTCACCAAAGTGATGCCTGTAACAACTCCACACTGTGCCGGCTGCTTCCACAATGAGAAAGCCCATTATTATGACCCCAGAGATGGCACTGACAACCCAGTGTTTGAAGTCAGCGAAATTCCAAATCAGGAAGAAGGAACATCTGTAAATTTCCGAACAGTCCGCAAAAAATCGTAAATGTTTGCCCCTTGACAAATCTGTCCAATTGTTTTAGTGTCTGGAAAACATTTAATTGAAAGTACCACAAGTGAAATTGGTTCTGTCAGTTCAGATTTCTGTGCATAAGCCTTTACAAGTTTTCTGTATTTCTAAACTTCTAAACTACCTTTTTATTGGCAGTAACTTTTTAATACTTTGTAGAATAGAGGAAATCACCAGTGAAAACCCAAGAGAGTCAAAACTGAGCTGAGTTTTTCAGCAGTTAAATGAATTATGTTACTGGTTAAGTGATTTTTATGTGTCTTCATGTATCATGTATGCCTTATATTGATATGCAAATAAAAAAAACTTTGTAAAAAAAACTTTTTATTATTTCAGTCCATTATAAAGGTTATGAAGCATAAATTATGATAAACACTGATAATGAGCTAAAGATATATCCAGATATAGCCACGATATCAAGTTGTGTGATATTGTGAATGACATCTTGATCTTCTCACATTCAGCTCATGCCTAGAACCAAATCACAGCCATGATGTCATTCATGACAACACTTTTCTTCTGATGTTCTATTGCTTGAAAAGGCCATATGCACTGCAGTTGCTTGCTAATGATCCATTACATTGAACATTTCACATTTGTACATTTTGTATCAAGTTACTCTACAGGGAACACAAAACAACAGATGGTGAAATGCAGGTACAGCCCTGATCTTTCTATTTTATTCCTAAGCAAACAGAATTTACACTGTACACATAGCATATCAGTACTGTAGTATAACCAGTAAACACCCTACAACTTAGCTGGCAGTCTAATAATATCAACAATGATAACAATAATAATAATATTTTGTGAATTTGTACCACACCCTTAACTGAGCTTGAGACAGAGGAGGGGATGCCTGAGACACTTGAACAGAAGTTCTACCAGAAAGACTCCAGAGATGAGCATGAAGAAAAAAATGAATCTCAATAGGATTTCACAATTTCACAGATAACAATTTTTGTAAGTTTAAATTCCCATCGTCAGCCCAGGTCTTGGAATGTTTAGACCCTCGCAGATCCTGCCGTCTAGGGACAGCAGGGGTGGAGCCTACCCCGGGGAAGAAGGAGTCATTTTAAAGAGAGGTGGACGCTTGTGATTGGTCAGAGTACTGAGCGATGTAGCATCGGAGTCTATCTGGTAGAATTTGCACTAAGGCCCTTATTTCTGGGTTGCTTTGTCAGGGACCCCCTGTCACTCAGCAAGATAGAGCAGAGTGGGAGGAGAAGGGGTGGTAGTGGAAGGTTTATAGGTTTGTAGGGTATAGAATATACACCGATCAGGCATAACAATCCTGATGTACCTGATCCACTCAGACTAGTGCAACACACACTACACACCACCACCACGTCAATGTTACTGCAGTGCTGAGAATGATCCACCACCCAAATAGTACCTGCTCTGTGAGGGGGGTCCTGACCACTGAAGAACAGGGTAAAAGGGGGCTAACAAAGTATGCAGAGAAACAGATGGACTACAGTCTGTAACTGTAGAACTACAAAGTGCACCTATATAGTAAGTGGAGCTCATAAACAAGAAACAAGGAGGTGGTCATAATGTTATGCCTGATCGGTGTAGGTGTGGTCCTTTTCATCGTGTCCTTCTCATAACTCCATTAACCTCATTTTCATACCAGCATCGCTTTGCATGCTTTGCAGACAAGTGTTATAAGAAATAAAGGTTTGATTTTCTGCATAATTATTTAGTAAGAACTTTAATAAAACAATTTAATAAAAATAAAAACGTAAATATTATTCATTCAAATCATGTGAAGTTAACATATAGATCAAATTAGAAAGATTCATGTAAAAAGAAAAAGGTATTTAACAAGGCTTCATAGTGAAGCTGCAAAGCCCCTCTAAAATACTTATTATTGAGATGGGCGCATGATTAAAACATTAATTTTGGTTGGTTATCCCACGTTCATCAGGTCCACTCACTGGGCTGCAGGTAGAATACCTTTTACCTTTTAAAAAAAATAAAGGTTCTATAACTCTTTTTTTCACCACAGCAACAATAAACATCTGGTATACAGGTGATAAGCCTGTGAACAAAGTCTAATTTTCAAGAAGTAAGGAAACGTTTAACTGAATGTCACCAGTATAACTGTGAAAATTGGCATCACGTTTCCTGAAAACAAAGTCAAACAAACAAATGTTATTGTAAAGTTTTGCTTTTCTCACATAAATATTGCTTTCTGATCAATGCATACTTTCCCATTTTCCCATCCCAGTTAAAAAGAAAACAGATTCTTATTTATGCATTAAACTTTTGCTTTATTAAGTGCATATGAAAATACCAACACATTGTTTTTGCATGCATTCTTTGAACAGCATATTCAAATATTTACTCATTTAACACAAACAAATTTTATATACTTTACACATACTTTACATATATTATTTTTACATGCTGTCGCTTTGGCGTAAAACTTTGCATCTCTAGATCTGTTGTTTTTTATTTTAGTGCATTACAATTGGTGATGAACAGAATAACAGTAATGGTCCAAAGATATTTTCTTTTCAACAAGCCACATGATAGTGTAAACACAGCAAGTATGCTTCTTTGTTGCTTTCAATACTTTTTACTCAAACTATTTGGAAAAGACAAACTGAGAAACACTTTTGTTTTTCATCTTTGTGCTTTAGTGTTTCATGAGAACGGGGTTCTCAATGGTTTTTGCACTGCATATCATTGTTGCCATGGTCCCATCCTTCACATTTTGGTAGAACTATCCCGATCCATTTCAATCACCTCAAAACCTTTGTTATCTGCACCATCTGCAGAGTAATGATGGTGGCAATTAACATCATGATAGCAGCATGCACAATGTGCTGTCGGTATTGGCTCTGTTCTGGAGAAGTTTGAGAAGTCCACTTGATATTTGCCCTCTTTGCTGCGGGAGATGATGGGAAGAAACTTATGGCCCCATATGATCTCCTGCGGGATGTAGGAAGTCCTGACCTGTTGAGAGAAGTTGGTAGACTCAGCTGTACCATCAAGAAACACTACCAGCTCAAAGTCCTGCCGGGGCAGAATGTCCACTGACATTTGGAAAAATGGACTCGACCCGTCAATCACATGATAAAAGGTCAAGGGGCAGATGAAGAACAGATTGTCCTTCCCAGCATCCACCATAAAGTCAACATTGACCTGCTCCATGATGATCGTCTTGCCTTCAGGCGTGACTCTCGTCCTAATCAGCTTGCCGTAGAGCTGACTCCCAACCAGCAGGCTCTTGCGGAGGTTGGCTACACGGATCTGCAAACAGAGCGCGTTCTGTTTAGCAGAGATGACAGCGTTCTCGCTAAAAGTGACAGTTTTGGCTCTTTTCCTGGGCATGGAGATTTTGTGAACAAGCACGCCACACCAGAAGCAAGAAATGACTGCACCAACAAGAACTTGAACCATGATGACAGTGATGGCGCTGGGACACTGGGCGGTAATAACTCGATAGCCGAAGCCAATAGTCAGCTGTGTCTCCACCGAGTAGAGATATGAGGTGACCAAGTCATTCATATTTAGTATACATGCAGTGTGATTTTCCGGCGGGTTCTGCCACCACAAGTCACCATTGTCACGAGCAACCCAGTACCAGATAAGAGTGAAGATGAACCAGCTGAAAATGAAGGAGGCCACGTAGAAGAACATGAAGGAAAACCAACCAATTTCCACGAACGTGGACCAGAAATCTTGCATGTAGGCAAAGAGGTTTCTGTATCTCATGTTGCCGTATTCAACGTTGCAGTGGCCATTTTTGGTCACCAGTCGGCTTCGGCGAATGCGGCGTTCAGCCAGGTAGTCCCTAAACCACTGCCTTAAAGATCGAGTCATTTTTCACGCTGCAAGGAGGCTCAACCTGGGAAGAGAATACAAGAACATTCTCAGATTTTACAGTAAATGCATGAACTTTATTTTAATGTAAGTGGAATTATTGGCTTAGCTTTGCTATGTACTCCAGCACACTGGATTGGAAAGTGCAGAAAGTGCATCTGCATTTGGGGAACCTAAACGTTTTTCACATAGTCCTGGCAGGAGATTGTAAGTATATGGATAAATTACTATAATCCTAAATAATAGTAATAATATTAATAATAAATAATACTATAATCCTGCAGGGAAAACACATCTGGGGGGGGAAATTGTTAAACTTTTGCTGCTGGAAACAAGGATACACCCCCTCTAAAGCATGCAAATTCCTCTAGTCTATGGTTTCCAATGCCCAGTGTAAAATCATTAACACTAGCAAAATAAGCTAGCTAGCAAAACTCTTTAATTAGCAAACAGAACTGTTTTCACCCAACAAACTTAGAAAAACTCTATTGTTAGCAAACAGAAATTGTAAGCCATGCTAGCAAAGAATATGTCCATGGGCTAATGACAGGCCTGTTGTCCATCAAGTCCATCATCACCTCCTACTTTTAGCTCCGCCTTCATGAGTCGAAGGGTTTCTTATCAATTTTCACACTCAGTTCTCGTTAGTTATCTTCCATATTGATTACCAGGCCTATAATCGAGCTACCTTCAATTTGTGCCTTTAAACCCAAAGTGTTGGTGTATTTTTCTATTTTGGTTCTACCTTTTCTTCACTTTTCTCTTACACATATGCATGCGCCAAAATCACCTGTGAGCTAGAATTTATAAAGGAAAACACACAAACATCACTATTTTTCTATAATGTCATACCACTTCTGTCTTGTGTGTAAAACTGCCAGACTTAAAAACCAGCAGAGAAAACGAAGAACTCAAATAGAACAAGCGAGCATAACAGACACACTTTCTAACAAAAAGACAAGACATAATCAAAAGAAAATAGCTAACACCAGCTTAGCAGTCTCAAATACATTAGGAGAAATTAAGTAACTGAGTAAGTGAGCGTTCAGTGTGGACATACCTGCCGTAAAGGTTTCTACATGGACACTCGGGAGATTGGCAAACAGGCAGAAGCATGTGCCAAAGTACTCTCTGTGTCTTTCCCTCTGTCCCACTTTCTTACGTCTATTCTCTTCCTTTCTCTAAAAGTTGTCTCAGCGCCGAGCTTTTGTATGGCCCCTTTATAGTAGCAAGGTTTGATGTTTACCTGTACACAAAGATGAACTGTTTGGGTTACTACAATGCCCTGTTAGGACAGGCCAGGGTGTTTAGGGCTGGGCAAACTGGACACAAACACGGCATGCTCAAAGAACACATTCATTCTCAGAATCTTCGAACAGGCCATCTAGGAGACCCACCTATTCTCTTCTTGCCACAAAACAAAAACATCTGCTTGCAAGAGAAATGACGCTGCAATTTGAGTAGGCGTGCATTTTCATTATCACCAAAAAAGGTAATAATGCCGTGCAAGGATTATGTCGGAAGATTCGAAAAGAGAGATGGTTATGTAGGCTAATTTGGAAAGCTATCTGCCATCTCAGGCTTCCTGAAAGTCACCGTTTTGGTTATATGATAGGATCTGAACAAAAGAAAGGGATTAGTTGGCCGTGAGTATAAATAAACACATTTTTTTATTTCACTATCATGATTGAATTGAATACCCCAACATTGCCATGCATTTCACCATTACAATAGGACTGGATTACATTTCTAGTGAAGGATGTAAGCTGACCCAAGTCATGCATGTATTCGATTGTGACTTGATACCATTGGAAGTGGCCTTTGTTCCTCTACCAGCTAATAAGGGGGGAAACTGATGCTTTGCAGCTTTTAATAGACCATTATCTGACCACATTCTGGCCACTATGTGGATTACCGAAAGCTTTATATTTTAACGTGTGTTGAGTAGATGAGTTTTGAGTGTGTGATTCCTAAATGGTCCCACACATGATTATTTAAAAATCTTTTTAGTCAAGCAAAAGTGGTTTTTTTATGACATGAACCCAAAGAACCCTTTTTAGCATCTTTATTTTTAATAGAGTGGGTGGGAATGAGACAGGAAGGAACTGACTTATTTGGGTGTGAACGGGTTTGTTTTCTTTGTTCGCAGCTACTGATGCCATTGTTCACACTCATCATTCATCTTTCTTGGAAAGATGTCCAATGAGTTTAGCCCCAGAACAAGACGAGCGTAGAGAGTGAACATAATTAAAACCCCTATGTTTTAGAAGCATAAAACAACACACAACAGAGGACAACATAAATAAACATCTACACCCTGAAACCGGAAGACAGGTGTTGACATGATACTGTCCTAGTTGATGCCACCATCATCTATGAAATCAGTGGACAACTGACATTGGACTAATTCACGTGCATGAACTAATTCATGTGCATGGATGCATATGGGACATTAAAATGAACAACTATTGTAAAGAGCAGGGTTGGGATAGCTACTGAAAAATAGTAGTTAGCTACTTTGTAGCTATTTTCCCAAAATGTGTAGCTGCTACAATTTAGCTACTTTTCCAGAAAAAGTAGTGGCTACTTTTTAGCTACTTTCAAAGCACGACTGTCAGAATGTTTGTGAATCTCCACCTGACTCACCAAACAAGTCTAACTGACATTGTGAACAAGACACTGCATTTAATCATGAGCCAGAAAGAAACAAACATACAACTGAAAAGCTGCAAATATACAAAAAGATCACCAAAAAGTGAGTTTAAGTGTAACCAACAATCAAACTTACACAACAAAGGCGTGACATCCAACAAGAATTTAGACTGAAGGCAAAGTCAATTATTCCAAGTTTTTCCTAACAAAAATCAATAAAAATAACTGGATACAAACCAAACAATCATACTGTTGAAATACAACTGCTCCAATTTAAACATTTCTGGAAGTTATACAGACATGACATTCAGAGTCCTTTGTTAAACTTCAGCAACACTTTAGCCTCAAAATTCTCATCACCCTGGCTCTGCGCAGCACTGTTAGTAATAGTCTAAAATGTTTTTTCCGCTTTAGCTAAGCCAGGGGTCAGCAACGGCTCTTTTACTACCTTGTTGCAGCTCCACAGCAGAGCTAGATTTTTAGGTAAAATAAAATACTCCTCCTTTGTTGTAAAATAAAGCTCCGCTTATCGTTGTAGCACAGTTTTCACAATGAATGGTCTTAAACGCTGGAGTTAGCGCATAACTGCTAATTCACCAACCTTTAACACTGAAGATTGACGCACAGACTGCTGGTCACATGGCAACGCAGATAATAAGTCTAGCCTAGCTCGTAGCTAAGGAAACGGCAAAGAGAAGATTTAAGCCGAACATCGACAATTTGGTTGACAAATAGACTTTGCATTTGATTTGCATTTATAAGAACTCAGCCGGTTTCTTGATACGTTTAATCTGCAATGAGATACTGTCAAACACTGTCAAAGCTGAAGTCAGTTTCTCATTCGCCAGCTTCTCATTTGAATTTTCCCGTTCCACCTTAAATGGCGCAGCAGTACATTTTGGCACCTCAGGCACCATTTAAGGTGGAAGCTGGCGAATGAGAAGCGACTTCAGCCTCGTAAAAAGTCGAATGTTGGGAGACATTTTACAAGAAAGTCTAATTTCGTGGAAAAGTTTGACTGAGATGCAAGAAAAGCAGCTATAGCTGACCTAAAGCTTAAAGCAGAGCAGAGTCTGCGTTTTTGTTTATATTATATTTTTGGCCTAAACTAGTACATCAGCACATACTGAGACATAATTACAGCCATGATGGTAAAACCGACACAAAATGTTGTGGCTCCCAAGGTGGTCTCATTTTTGTTGAAAGGACAAAAAGGCTCTTCCTTTTCAACATTTCGGTTACTGACCCCTGAGCTAAACCTACTAGTGAGGAATGATCAGCGCGTGACCGTTTGTTTGCCACTAGCCCAGTTAACGAGCGCGTTCTATGGTTCAGATTTTGTGCAGATTGTCTGAGGCCTGTAGCAAAATTGTAGTGAAAATTATTGCTATAGCTACACAAAAATTTTAGGCGCTACAGCTATTATCTACATTTCATAAAACTGTACCGGCTACAGCTATTAGCTACAATAAAACTGTACTGGCTACAGTTATTAGCTACAAAAATTTGTAGTTAGCTACAAAAAGTAGCGTGCTACTTAGCTACTCCCCCATCCCTGGCAAAGGGTACATATGTGTATCTGCAATGCATCATTTCACATGAAACCACTCATTTACTTTGTTTTCTTCTCCACAACTGAATCATTGGAATCACTGATGAAATTTTAAGAAATAACTGTGGCTATCAGCAGTTGGAACACTGCCAATTCTTACACCATTCTTATGTTGGTACTTTGTTTTGGAGGTTTCTTAATCCATTCCAGATTTGATGAATATAGTTTCAGTTCAGTTCAAGTTTTAATTTATACCTCAATTATTTCTCTTTTTTCCATTAGATTTCTGATGTATTCTATGCCATTTAATTTGTATATTAAAAATCTATTAGAAGGCCAAAGAAAGTTTTATTAAACACTATAACCTAGGAAAAGCATCAGTTTGCATTGAAGTCCCTGTAGTTACAGAATAATAAGCCTTTTCATTTTTACATATTTTCAAAGGAATTTATTACGTTCGTAAGGTAAATTCTATAAGTGAACGATCTATGAGATGCATTGTGAATCCATCAATTTATATTATAAATGGAATTTGTGAAAATATAGTATTCCAAGAGTGCCCAAACCTCGTCCTAGTGATCTAGCACACTGCAGAATTTAGTTCCAACCCTAGCCTAGCACACCTGATCCAGATAGGGAGTATGTGTACATGCACTAAATAGTCTGATCATATATCTGATTACTCAAATGGTCATGTAAACACTATACTCCGATCTAGAAATCCAATTAAAAAATCCAATGAAGAGAGCTGGATTTTAGCTCAGTAATCAGATTTCTCAGTGCATGTGAACTCTTACTCCGATTTCTTTCGGATTTCTCAGTTGGCGCATGTGTGAGAAGAGATGGTGGATGTCGCGAGATGGCGGCAAAACACCTTTGGAGAGGTGCTGAAACCAAACACAAAATGAAGGGTTTAAACATTCTTCATCTTCTAGATGATGCATGTTCATAGTTTCAGGTAAAGTGGGGTGAAGTTTTGTGTGAAGTTTGAGTTTTATGTTAGGGTTATGTCACGTCTTCTTCTGTGAGTTCATTGGCTGGCTGTAAAGTAGAAATCCGATTACTGTCTGACTTGTGTAGACCTGGAGTTTTCCCAATATCTGATTACTCAAGTGCATGTAAATGTTTTGATCGGATTACTGACCAAATCTGATTTTCTGCAGTTATCAGATTATTATAAGTGCATGTAAACAAACTCAGTATTGACATTCATTAACTTCTGAATTTTAGCACCAACTGTGTCAGAACTTAATGCTCCAGGATGGTAGATCACCAGGATTAGGGTGGCTGTAGTATACACCAGGGTTCCCCAAGTCCTGGAGGGCTGCGTCCAGCACAGTTTGGTAATCTCCTTCCTCAAGACACCCGATTCAACTCATTTGTTAGCTGCCAGGTTTAGTTAAGCAAAGAAAGTTAAGTAGGGAATCACCAAACCCTTTAGAACCGTAATTGTCAAGCTCTGGTTTACACTCATTAAACTAAACGTGCCAAAAAAAAGTTATTCGGAGCCATATAAGAAGCACTTCTGCTTTTCTAATTTCAATTGATGTTCTTCAAAGAACCAGTTTTATTAATGAAATATGTGATTGTGAAGAACTTTTAGAAAGTTAAAAGAACCTCAAAATGAGGTAAAAATTCTATACCAACTAAAGTGTGTTCCAAGAACCACACCTCCAAACTGAAAAACTTTCAGGAGCGTTTATTTTCTGGAGTGGTCCATGGCCTGTGGTGCATTTATGAATTTAGCAATAAGATCTAGCATATATTTTCACAAACATGATGGTAGCAGCATCTACTCTTTTCTGCAATAACCCAAAGGGTTTGTGTTTGTTTATCAGATATTTGGCACAGTCACCGTTTATATGATTTACACACAAAACAAAAAACATCAGAAACGGAAGATTCTGTGAGGCTAACATCCTGAAGGAGGCTTCGTAACCTACTTTAGAAAGCAAGTACATGTCACGCAACTAGAATAAAGTAGG